AATAAATATTAGTAGAATGCTGCCAGCAGTACATATAAGCTCTCACGTGCCCCTTCCTCATTTTACCCCATGGAGGTTAGACTATTTTGGTTTTTAGAGTAGTAATTTTCTTGCTTGCCCAAACTTTTATCAAATAACTCTGCAACCTTACACAATAAAGTAATACTTTGTCAATTTTTAAACCTTATATAAATAGAATAAAAAGTTAAGTTTTATATCTATTTTCTTTCACTCAATACTTTCAAACTTTATCCAGGCCATTGCATGTTCAGTTCATTCAATGCATGACTATAACATAGTATATTCATTCATTATAATATTGATACAAATTTCTAACTTTTCATTTTCAACCTATTATGTATAATGCAGCTAAGAACATTCTTTTGTACATGGATTCTGGTATTCATGTACCTTTTTTTTTTTAAATAAGTATCTGGGATAACAGTTGTTTGGTATTAAGGTACGCATATTTTAAACCTTATAGTTTAATGCCCAAGCATTTTGTAAAGTGATTATGCAATTTACACTCCAAAGAGCAGTGAAGGGACTTCTCTGCTTCCTATCTGTGCTAAGCAAATATGGTGCATGTGCAATGGTATCTTATTAGCATTTTCTGCATTATGGATGAGGAACATTTCTTAATAAGGTTGTTGGCCATTTGGATTTCTTCACTTGTAAAATGCCATTTTTTTCTATAGAGATGTCTGATTTCTCAGACTTTTAGTTGAGTATATATTCTGGATATGAGTCATTTATCAATTGCAAACCTCTACTCTGTGACTTTCACTCTCTTAATGATGTCTTTTCATGACTAGAAGTTCTTAATTTTAATGTAGATTTATCAACCTCTCCCACTATAATTAGCTTAAACAAGGTAACGTGTTTAAGCAATCTTTTCTAACCCTCAGATAAAAAGATACTCTCTTATATTGTCTAGTAAAATCTTTATCATTTTACCGTTCATATTTAAGTCTATAATTCCCTTGAAATTCATTTTTGTATAGCATGTATAGAAGAAATTAATTTCCTTTTCTTCTGGTTTTAAAATAAAGATACCCATTTATCTCTGCACTATTTATTGAACAGACTGTCTTTTCTCCAAAGTTTTAAAGTGCCACTTTGTGTATTTATAGATTTTCAATTACAATCCATTAATTTATTTTTATATCAATACACCAATACTTCCAACACCTCAATGTCCTGATGACTACAACTTTATAATAACCTTGTTTCTAATAAAGCCAGTCCTCTCACTTCCTCAACCGAGTGGTTATTCATAACTCATATATTTCCATATAAAATTGGAAAGCAATCTGTCATGGTACACACAAACAAACACATACTTTGTACTTTGGCTTTGTTTGAATCTACAATTCAATTTGAGGGAAACGTTGTACAAAAGCAAAGGAACTATATAATCTCTCCATTAAGGTCTTTAATTAAAGTAAATAAATTCCCATACCTGCCTCCTCAGAAATCTGTATGCAGGTCAAGAAGCAACAGTTAGAACCAGACATGGAACAGCAGACTGGCTCCAAATAGAGAAAGTATGTCAAGGCTGTATACTGTCACCCTGCTTATTTAACTTATATACAGAGTATATCATGAGAAATGCTGGGCTGGATGAAGCACAAGCTGGAATCAAGACTGCTGGGAGAAATACCAATAACCTCAGATATGCAGATGACACCACCATTATGATAGAAAGTGAAGAAGAACTGAAGAGCCTCTTGATGAAAGTGAAAGAGGAGACTGAAAAAGTTGGTTTAAAACTCAAACATTCAGAAAATTAAGATCATGGCATCTGGTCCCATCACTTCATGGCGAATAGATGGGGAAACAATGGAAACAGTGAGAGACTTACTGATGCTTCTGAACTGTGGTGTTGGAGAAGAGTCTTGAGAGTCCCTTGGACTGCAAGGAGATCCAACCAGTGCATCATAAAGGAAATCAGTCCTGAATGTTCATTGGAAGGACTGATGCTGAAGCTGAAACTCCAATACTTTGACCACCTGATGCAAAAAACTGACTCCTTTGAAAAGACCCTGATGCTGGGAAAGATTGCAGGCAGGAGGAGAAGACGACAACAGAGGATGAGATGGTTGGATGGTATCACCAACTCAATGGCCGGGAATTTGAGCAAGCTTTGGGAGTTGATGGACAGGGAAGCCTGGCATGCTGCAAGCAGTCCACAGGGTCACAAAGAGTTGGACATGACTGAGCAACTGAACTGACTGAAGATCTTTTACATCTTTTATTAGATTTACACTTAGGTATTTCAGTAGGCACTCTTCTCCTTTCTGATCACAAAGAAGATGTTGCCAAGGCTTCATCATTAAGTAGGACATTCATTATAGTATTTGAGTAGATAACCTTTATCAGTTTAAGGATGTTCCATTCTACTCCTAACCTGCAAGAAGTTTGATCATAGCAGACAAATTTATCAAATGTTTTTCTGCAACTACAGAGGTAATATAGTTTTTCTTCCTTAGCCTATTAGAAAGATATACTGATAAATTATTTAAAATTAAAATAACCTTGTGTGCCTTGCATAAACCCAACTTAGTTATATTATTCTTTTAATATAATATCTCATTCGTTAAAATTTGAAATATTACATGTATTTTTACAAATAAGACTCTTTATGACTCCATGGACTGTGGCCACCAGGTTCCTCTGTCTATGGGATATCTCAGGCAAGAATACTGGAGTGAGCTGCCATTTCCTTCTCCTAGGGATCTTTCCGACCCAGGGATCAAACCTGGGTCTCCCACATTGCAGGCAGATTCTTCACTGTTTACAGATTCCTGCCAGGGAAGCCCCAAATAAGACTAATGTTTCTTAAAATGTCCAAGGTTATCCATAACTCATAAAATAAGTTGGGAAGTTTCCTTCCTCTATTCTCTTTAAGAATTTGTAATTGGTATTAGTTCTTCATTAAATATTAAATAGCATTATCCAGTGAAGCCATCTGGCTCTGGTGATTCCTTTCTAGGAATAATTTTAAATGTGAATCCATTTCTTTAGTGTTTATAGGAACATTTATATGTGTTCTATTTCTTCCTATATCAGTATTAATAAGTTATATTTTTCTAGAAATATGTGCATGAGAATTATGGTATTCTGCTGTGGTAATGAGTTCCAGTTCGCTCATATTTCCCTGCATCCACACTCCTGGGTAATAGTACCTTTTCACACTGACTCTAAAGCTCCCTTTAAAGTTAAAAGTAACTACCTGCTATATTTTGCCAATGAATATCCAGTACATTTCCAACTTCGTGCCTTATCTCATGTCATTTCCTCTCCCTAGAAAACCCACATATTTGGGGGTAACAAGTTGCTGTTTAGTCACTAATTTGTGTCGTCCGACTCTATGCAACCCCACGGACTGTAGCCGCCACGCTCCTCTGTCCATGGAATTCTCCAGGCAAAAATACTGGAGTGGGTTGCCATTTCCCTCTCCAGGGGATCTTCCTGACCCAGGGACAGGACCTGTGTCTCCTGCATTGGCAGGCATATTCCTTACACTGAGTCACCCCAGGAAAGTCCAGAAAAAATGCATACATGCTTATAAACACAAAATTTTATATAAACTATCATAGCATTCACTACTTTCATTCTGCAAAGTAGATTCCAGATTAAAGACTCCTAACTTACATACTGCCCAATATTAATAGAGGGAAGAATAAGCAAATAAATATGGAAACAAATATACAACAGAGCAAAGGTTGATAAAAGCATTCATACTGGCCTATGAAAATTTGTATAAAAGAAGTGTTTAAAATATGAAACATAAAATATACTTGAGTTTTAGGAATTTATTTACCAAGTTCTCCCTAATAAAACTGCTTTTAAAATATAGCAATAAAGGATCATTCACTATTTAAAAGTGGTACATATGTGGCATAGAAAAATATCCAGTCAGTTAAAGTATTATAACAGATAATTGAAAATTGTTAAATGACAAACATTTGCAGTACTCCCTAAACAGGTAGGAAATAACAATGCATTTATTCATAGGAACTTGATTATTTTGTACTACTATTGAAACCCTATTATGAAAGATAAAATCAGAGTTTGAAAAATATTTTACAACAGCAAGTAAGTGTATTTCAATTTTACATTTAATTATGAGGCCACAATAAAAATTTAACCATACACATATCTATGCATTTTACAGTAGATTAGCCAACTTAGCAATTATTTCATAAAGAGTATAAACCACTTTACCACAATCACCTCATGGTCTTATCTTTCCAAATAAAATACCACACACTATCAAACTAAACCAAGTTACCAATGGCTAAAATCACTATAAAGTATACTGGCCCTTAAACAAGTATACATCAGTATCATGTTTGTGCAAAATATATATGATTTTTTAATCCTTTTGTCCTTATCTCAATTTGCAAGTAAATTCTGAAACCACCTCCTTTAACTGTTATTCTTGTCAACAGTGGCAAATCTTTCAAAATCCACATGCAATATCTTTATTTATAAAATAAACTGCAAAAGGAGCAGTTAAATAACTAAACAGAGTATGTGAACCCGGAACCCACTATTCAGAGATCTATGCAGGTTTTCATTTGTGATATCACTTCATTTCTAAACAAACTGAGATACATATTTATTTCCAAAAATTCATTCATGGACACTATACAAAGAGATTTACAGCAGTATTTGGCATCAACCAATAAAATTTATTTACTGTATCATGTGGCAAAGTTACTATTATCATGAATAACTTAAATGACTGGTCTTCAACTGGATTCAACAAAGAGAAAAATTACACCAAAATCAATATAACTTTTTACATGAATTAACTCAAAAAATGTCAGAGGTTAACCTTACTCTTTCAAGAAAAAAATAAAATGGCATAGTTTAGTGTTACCTTCTTTCCAGCTTTCACCAAGTGCTAACATTAAGTACCATTTAAGTCAGTTTCTTATTTGAGTATGAGGTGCTTATAACTTTGCACAAATTAAGATTTTTTTTAAGCTTCATATCAAATGAGTTGTAGATCTACTTAAAGTATGGCTTCTCCTTTCAAAGAAGGCAGGAAGACTGACAAGGGAGGGAGATGGGATGCCCTGTAAAGACAAACGTTTTATACTTAAATATTTTTTCTTTTAAGTAAGATATAGCTTAGTATCATACACACTATTTTTGCATTTTACAAATTATCATAACAAGTAAGACATCTGAAAATCTAAACTCTTTAAAGAAATAGAAACTTAAAATTAGGAGGGAACGGTTGGGAGAACACATAGAACTGTTTTAGCATTCTGAAGAACGAGAAAAATGGATACACTGGTTTACTACATATTAACTCAAATGAAAGAGATAAATGCTTACTGCTAGTAGTGGTACTTCTGTAGATATTAATGATTCAGTGTTTCAGATGTCTTTTTAAAATTATAAATTAGAAGACAAATTTTTGAGGTTAAAAAGACAAACCACAATGGTTTCTTCTTAATCATAAGCAGAATTAAGAACAGTAAAATTACTTCATTGGAAATAAGTTTCTAAATTAAAAGCCATACACTCTGAAAGAGTTTTTATATTATGTGTGCAACCCATATTTACATGTGTGTGTATGATTTTGCTTCATATATGACTGAGCAAAACAGCAGTGCTTCTGATAATAGAGATTACTAACATACTAAGCTGTCTAAACTTTATTATTTCAGAGTGTCAAAGTTAAATATCATCAGAATTAATAACAAAGAAACAATACCAAAAAGTAAAGTGGGGATATAAATCAAAACCAATTATTATGAAAAGTACTATTTTAACAGACATGAATGGTTAACTATTCCCTGGAGAAAGGAATGACAACCCACTCCAGTATTCTTGCCTGGAGAATTCCAAGGACAGAGAGGAGCCTGGCGGGCCACAGTCCATGGGGTCACAAAGAGCAGGACACGACTGAGCAACTAACACACACAAACTTAAGAGCCAGCAAGGTAGCTGCTAAGTTCTCATCAAAGGTTTGGAGAGTTTAAAGAGCTGGGTTGGTAAAGTATTACCACTCAAGTTACAGGAAAGCAATGATTTAAGTAGATAGTATAAAAGTTTACATTTTCCTCAGGTAAAACCTTTATGATTCGCCATATTAAAAGCATAAATTTTACACAAATGTCATAATTCTAAGATTAAGAATCATATTTGGAATATAAATCCACTTCATAGGACAATTACTAACATTTTAAAATAATTATTTCCATAAATAAGAAAATCTAATGGGACTGATTTTTTCAGGCCTTATGAGTAAATTATCTTGTAAAATAGTTTTATGTGCCAATAAACAAAGAAACTCCATTAAGCCTAAGTTGTTGGGATTTCAAAGCTTATAAAGTTGTGAATTCAAAAGTCCTCATTCACCTAATTAGTGATTCAGTGGAGAAAAATACTTTCTTTTTTCACAATAAATACAAATTTCAAATAGCTAATAAGCTCACATTAAACTTCATGAGGCTTGTTTCCATTACTGGTTGACATATCTCCTAATTCTTGACAAATATCAAAGATGACTTGGATAGAACTTTTTTTGAAATTTGATAATTCAGAATTTCCTTCTAGCATCTCTGAAAAACTAGCTCATGAGGCAGAATGACGTACAGATCGAAACCAGGAGTTCTGAGAGCGCCCACCAGTAGAGTTTGAGCGCTGAACATAACCATGCTCAGTAAATCCAATTACATTGCTTGTGGAAACAGAATGGCTCATCTGTTAGAACAGAAATAGGCAACTGAGAAGAGGACAAGGATGTCTTAAAGATACTTTAGGTACTTATTTATATTATTCACATAAAACTGGTAAAGCCATAAGTAATAAATGTTAATTTTCCAAAAATTTTCTATAAAATCCAATTATCTTTATTTGAAAAGCAGTAATATTTATAATAGTTACAAACAGATGAAGGAAATAAAAAAGGGATAGTGCACTGGGCTTCAGAAAGTTTACAATTTAATTTTAGTAAATGAATGCTTACTATACTTTGTCAATTTCAATACTTTTTTTCATTAACTAACTTCTTTGCAAAAATTTATATTATCAACCAAGTATGATTTCTCTTCCATTAGGTTAATCTTGATTATAAATCTGTATAAACATATTTATATTAAGCTATAACCTTTGATGTATATTAACTAAAGACTTAACTAGCTTTATCAAAAATATGCTATTGAGCATTATGTGCCTTTTTTGTATACATTTTATATAATTAAAGGTAACCATTTATAAAACACCAAGGTGTTACCCTTGAGCACTTTGTGTATACTAACTTACTTAATCCTTACAACTACTACTTTAGATTCATTTTATAAACAGTGAAATTGAAACAGAAAGATCTTTAATAAGTTGACAAAAGTCATACAGCTAGTAAACAGCAGAACTGGGATCTGAACTTAGGAGTTTCAGAGTTCCTGCTCTTAACCACTACTCAAACTGCCTCTGAGAAAAGAATCACATCATATATGTGAGATAGACTGTGTGTATTTACCCTTTACAATAAAACCATAGGGTAAGTTACTCCTTTCTTTCATCTGCAAATTGGGGACAAGAGAAAACAGGAAACTTGCTAAAGGACATATAGCTAAGAAATGACAGTCACTTGTCTTTCTTAACCTTAGTAAGTTATATTAAAAATAATTTTTACAAAGGACAGATACATCACTATTTAGTGACAATAATATATGTTAGAAATGCCTTTAATATTAATTAAATGTATAATAATTCTGACACCACTGGGAATTTGGATTGCTCAGGAAACATTTAAAAATAAACACATGGATTTAGTACCCATAAAACCTTTTGATACTCACAACTTCAGCCATTATCTGTTCACAGACATAAAAGGAAATAAAACTCAGTCTCTGCTATATTATTGGAGCCCATCTATAAATAGAACTATCCTTATGTATGTCAGTAAAAGTGATAGGCTAGACCGAAATATGTTGCTTTCTTAGAGATTAACATCTCAATCCCAATAAAATTTCATATCAAATAAACTACACCTTAAGTAAGCCTCTAGTTCATTAAGTAAAGTTTTCTAAGTTATCTTAACCCAACAATGAGGTTAGATATAGCAAAAAAATTGATGAAGATATTAAGATTTCTACCTTTAAAAAGTCAACAAATTTATATCAACTCAGTAAATCTGAAGACATTTAGCCCATTAAATCAAAATCACTTACTGCTAATGACGATGTGCTAGCCAGACGACTCATGACGTGCTTCTCATTGCTAGAAGGACTTTTTCCCTCTGCTGAACCTTGGGACGCCATAAGAGCCCTGCGGAGAGCTCTTTTGGGAGTTTTGGAGAAAGAGAATGCTCTTGTAACCTAGAATTAAAACAAGATAAAATCAATTTAACAGCCTCGATAAATCTAATATAATTGATTAGAACAACTATATGTAAAACAAAGCCAAATCCACATTAAAAGTTTTTCTATAAAAAATATGGAGGAATTTTTGTAGAAAAAGTATATGGCAGAATGAGAATATCTGGACAAAGCAGTGAGAAAATGTAGTACATTGTGGATTATGCCATCTTGCATTCATAGAGCACTAGTTCAGCAGGAGAAAGTAGGAGGGGAAATTTAGCATGAGAAGAAACCTTGGGGTTGTCTAATTCTGCTATAATTCAGTTGTGAGATCGCTGTTCCAAAGCCACTTAAACCTCAATTTAACTGAAAAAGGGTAGCACTTTATTTGAATCACCATTGTTAATGTTTATCTACTATATATCATTCATGTTAAATGCAGAGATACAATGATGATTAAAGTATGCAGCCTCCCCTCAAAGGCAAAGAAAACAACAATCAAAAGCTTATAAACTGAACAACAGACTCTGGCTGTAAATTTTACCTATAAAATTAAAACTCTAGTTCTACTTTTAAAAAACCTATTACCAACATTCCTGTGTAGTCCTGAACAACCTCCATAAGGTAAGGTAAGGTAAGATAAGTAGGAAAGTTATCTTCATCATTAGAAGTCTGAAACATAGTATGTTAAGGAACAGATCCCAGGTTTCCTGACTCTATCGTGTGTCCTTTGCTGAAAAATATCTGAGGCAATTTCTAACAGGAATGCACACATACTTAAAACACCATCAGAAATATCAAAGTAACTAGAATGGGAAGGGTAAAAGCTGTTACAAGTGCTGTGCCAAAGAATTGGCTAAGCTTATCTATTATCTCTGCAGGCCATTTCCTAAGACCAAAAACAACTCTGTTTTATGTACTACCTTCACACTGACATCTATGGCCATATTATTTTAATATACTCTGAAAAATACATTTTGGAGATACGGTGAATAATAAAGTCACTGAGATTTACCTTTTTTGAAGTCTTTTTTATTGCTCTAGATGCTCTACTCAATGTACTGTCCATATCTTTTGTATTTACTTCAAAGGATTCTGGATCAGCAGTGTAAATAAGATTCTCCTGTTGAAAATTAATATTAATTTTTAAAATAATAAAATGAAACTACACAGCTGTTCCTAAAATCGAACCTGTAAGAACTTATATGCCCACACAGATGCTTATATAAATCAAACTACTCAAGACTTTTGCTGTATTTGACATAATTTCTACTCTAAAATTTATTTATGGGCTCATAAAGGATATAACAGAAGGACAAAAACTGATTTAAAAAATCAAACATTTTTATATTTTTTACAATGTATGTGTGAGTATAGAAATATTTTCTCTTCCACATGGCAAAAGTTCTCAAAAGACAAGACACCAACTCAGGGCATTTTAAAATGTACTATTTGAAATGCAGGAGAGAGTTCAACTGAAGTCCCTGAATATCTGAATTTATAAACATTTTTTAGTAACACAACTGGGAAGAATTTTGTGGCTTAAAACAGTATAAATTAGGATATAGATTAAATGTTTGCTGCCACCTTGTGGTAAATTTTACTTTATGAAATACTTTCATTAATTGTTTATATTCCAGTTCTAGAATTACTAGCCATCCTGTGGCTAGTAATTTTATTTTCAGCATTTTTCCATTAACTGTTTACACTTCAGAATCATAGTTATAAATTTAGAAAAGACTGCAAAAGCCATCTAGTTGGACACTGTGATAAATTTAGGAATAATCTCTATAGTAGGAAATCACTATACTGCAGAGATCCATTTTATATATGGATATATAGGACTATGAGAAAAAATTCTTCCTTATAATGAACAAGTTTTTGGCTTCACAAAAAGCTGTCTCCATTATTTTCCTAGCCAGCACTCTGTTGTATGCACTAGTACTGTATTTCTTTCAATGAACCTTTGTGTGGAGCAACACTTTATTTATAACAATATATTCTTGGCCCACAGAAATTTAAAAAAACAACAACAACAACAAGGACCAGAGCAAGATGATGCAATAGAAGGACATGGAACTCACCTCCTCCCACAGACATATCTGTATGTAGAATAAAACTCACAGAATACCTGCTAAATACTGGCAGAAGAGCTCATAAAACCAAAATGCAAGAAAGATCACCACATAACAGGGTAGGAGAAAAGAAAGAAAAGGGGAATTGGGACAGGATCTGTACCCCTGGGAGGGAGCTATGAAAGAGGAAATGTTCCTTGACACGGGAAAATGCTTCACCAGCAGGGGAGATCAGTGTGGAGAGAGAGAGCTCCAGAGGCTCGGGAGAGAACACGGCAAGTGGTCTGCAACAAGTAGGGCAGAGGGAGGCCCGCACTCAGGGCCCAGGCCAGCTCACTGCAGTCCTCGGCCTGAGGGCACGTCTGCTGGCGACACAGGTGCCCAGCTGTGTCCAACTCTTTGCCATCCTTTGGACTACAGCTCGCCAGGCTCCTTTGTCCATGGGATTTTCCAGGCAAGGATACTGGAGTAGGTTGTCATTTCCTTCTTGAGCGATTTTCCTGAACCAGGGACTGAACCCAGGTCTCCTTTATTGCAGGTGGATCCTTTACCTTCTGAGCCATCTGAGAAGGTTGGGTGCTAAAACCTGGGCTTCAGAGGACAGACCTGGGGGGAAGACTGGAGTTGTCTGCATGAAGACTGCCTGAAGGGGCTTGGAGTGTGATCCAAGCTGCAATCTGGTGCATATGCAAAAAGGAGACCAGATCGGCCACTGAAGCCCCACTGTTAACCTGCAAGCTCAAAGGAAGGGCGGGGCACAGAATAGCAGCCGCATTCTCAGTGCGCTCACAACAGGCCCAGCTGCTCATTCACAGAGGCCAGGCTGCAGTCCTAGCCAACTGCCAGTGGCCCTACAACTTAGAAAGCACAGCTGAAACCTTAATGTCCCCACGGCTCTGCTATCCATGAATTTAAGTGCCTGAGATGGTTGGTAAACTCAGTGCCCGTAGGACACTGGTGTGGATTACTGTGCTTCTGTGGCTGGGGCAGGTCTGGAGACAGGAGGCGCTGCTGGTGCTCACACACAGAGGCAGGCCGAGGGTCTGGGCTGACTCAGCAGCTCCTACAGCCAAGGCGGGTCCAGGTGCTCAGCCCAGCCCTGGTGGTCCCAGTGCCTGACCTCAGGAGTTGTGCCAACAGATCTGTCCTAGTAGCTTTATGAGTAGAAGACCGGAGGGTTCCCAGAGCTAACTATCTAAATCTCCACAGCTGGGGTGGGACCAAGGGGTGTGCCAAAAACTGTACTCTGTGAACCAGCACAATAGTGACAGGCAAAATCACAGAGTGCACTTTCCCGTAGACAAGTCCTTCCCCAATATTCACTGGGTGGCATCCCTCCCAGTGGGAGCATTCCAGTCCTATCTACCTCACACTGTAGACGGCATCTATCCAAAAGGGGGCAGACCCTGCCCCAGACAGAGTTATAACAACCACAGAGCAAAGAGGAGGCTACACTCAATATCCAGTACAGGCTCTGGTCATCGTGACAACAATCACGCCCTTATCAAGGGGATAATGGATAACAGGCATCCATACTAAAAACAGTCTTTGTACAAAAATATTACACTCATGAAGGCTACACAGCGACAGTCCCTTATAAAAACCACCCTTGCAGACCATGGTAGAAAACTGTTTCTCCTTAATTCACAGACTCAGAAGTAAAACGAAGAAGAGGAACCACACAATTAAAAGACCAAGAGAATTCCCCTGAAAGAACAGACATCTCCAGTCTACCAGATTCTGAGTCCAAAAACGAGATGATGAAAATAATGAAGGAGTTAAGAAATGATATGGATAGAAATAGAGATTACTATAAAAAAAAAACATATATATACAAAGAGGAGTCAATTAAAAGTAGAAAACTCATTTGCTGAGACAAAAGCTGAACTAAAGGCAATCAACAGCAAACTGGATAATGAAGAACTTAAGTGATCTGGAAGATAGAATAATGGAAATTACCAAACTAGAACAGTAGACAGAAATACAAATTTAAAAATATATATATAGAAGACCTATGGAATAATATAAAGTATCCAGATCTGTGCATAATAGGAATCTCAGAAGGAAAACAAAGAGAAACAGGACATTAAAAATGTATTTGAAGAAATTATGGTTGAAAATGTCCCAAATCTAAGGAAGGAAACGGAAACCCATGTATAAGAAGGACAGAGGGTCCTAAACAAGATGAACCCAAACAGACCTACACCAAGATATACTATAACTAAAATGGCAAAAGTTAAAGATATAAAGAGGATTCTAAAGGCAGCAAGAGAAAAAAAAAAGAGTTAATTACAAAGGACTCCTCCCACCATGAGGCTGTCAACTGATTTCTCTATCTTCAGAAACACTGAAGGCCAGAAGGGAGTGGCAGGATATATTCACTCAAAGTCTTAAAAGGGAATAGCATGCAGCCCAGGACACTCTATACAGCAAGATTATCACTTAGAATAGGGAGAGATAAAGAACTTCTCAGACAAGCAAAAACTAAAAAGAATACAGCAATATTAAACTTATCCTAAAAGAAGTATTCAAAGGTTTCTCTAAATAGAATAAAGAAAAAAAAAATCTACACAAAAGAGAAAATCACAATTGCAAAGAAAATCAAGAGAAAATCACAATTGGGAAGAAAATCACTTACATAAGCAAGTACAAAAATTTTTTAAATAAAATAATTTTTTCTGAAAATAAGGATAACTACAACTAACACCAAAAGAGTAAATACAAAGATGTAAAAGAGGACATCAAAATCATAAAATGTGCGGAAAGAGAGTATAAAAATGTAGAGTTTTTTCTTTTAAAGAATGTGTTTGAGCCTATATGACTATCAGTCTAGAGCAAGTCAATATAGTTGTGGGTTAACACACCTGATAGCCAGGGTAACCACAAATCAAAACCATGTAACAGGTTCACAAAAAGTAAAAGAAAAGAAAAAAGTATAATACAAAAGAAAACCATCAAACGAAAACAGGAAAAACAGAAAGGAACAAAGAAGAAATATAAACTCAACTGGAAAATATGGCTTAAAAATGGAAATAAATACATATCTATCAATAATTACCTTAAATGTCAATGGACTAAACACTCTAATAAAAAGACAGTGGCAGACTGGATTCAAAAAAAAAAAAAAAGAGCCTACAACCTGCTGCCTGTAAGAAACCCACCTTAGGGCCAATGACAAACAGATTGAAAGTGATGAGACTGAAAAAGATATTTCATGCAAATGGAAATGACAACAAAGCAGATCTAGCAACACGCATTCCAGACAGACTGTAAAACAAAAGTCATAATGATAAAAATGGACACTCTATAATGATAAAAGGGTCAATATAAGATGAAAATATTACACACATTTAATACTTATGCAATATGCAACATATGCAATATACGAGTACCTAAATACAAAAAGCAAGTATTAACAGACATAAAGGAAGAAACTGACAGAAATAAAACAGTAAAAGACTTTAACATCTCACTCACATAAATAGATACACCTTCCAGACAAAATGAAAAAAGCAGCAGAGATCTTAAATGATACAATAAAAAGGTAAGGCTTTATTGATATTTTCAGGACATTACATCAAAAAAACCAGAATACATTCTTTATAAGTGCACACAGATCAATCTCTAGGATTGACCACATACTAGGACACAAAACAAGACAGAACAAATTTAAGAGGACAGAAATTATTTCAAGCATCTTTTCTGATCATAATAGCATGAAACTAGAAGTCAACTTTAGAAAGAGAGGGAGAAAAAAAAAAGATTATATGGAAACTAAAAAGCATGCTACTAAAAAAAAAGAAATCAAAGAGTCAATGATGGAATCAAAGAGGAAATCAGAAGACACCTTGAAACTACTATATACTCTTGACAAAGGAGGCAAGAGTACAGAATTGAGGGGGGAAAAAGTCTCTTCAGTGTGGTGTTGGAAAGCTGGACAGATGCATATAAATCAAGGAAGTCAGAACAGTCTCACACCATACATACACTCAATAAACACCATTCTCTTCTCCAGGAGATCTTCCCAATCCAGGGATTGAACCTGGGTCTCCTGCATTGCAGACAGATTCTTTACCATCTGAGCCACCAGGGAAGCCCCAAATATATGACATGACACCATAAAACTCCTAGAAGACAACATAGGCAAAACATTCTCTGACATAAAAGTCCAATTGTTTTCTTAGATCAGTCTCCAAAGGCTACAGAAATAAAAGCAAAAACAAGCAAATGGGACCTAATAAACTTAAAAGCTTTTCCACAGTAAAGGAAACCACAAAAAAGAAAAGACAGTCTACAGAATGGGAGAAAACATTTGCAAACAATGTGCCCAATAAGGGATTAATTTCCAAAATATACTAGCAGCTCATACAACTTAATAACAAGATACAACTTAATCAATAACTAGACAAAGACCTAAATAAACACTTCTCCAAAGACATACAGATGGATAGCAGAACATGAAAAGATGCTCAACATCACTAATAATTAGAAAAATGAAAATCAAAACTACAAAAAGGTACCGCCTCACACCAGAAGGAATGGCCATCATTAAAAAGTCTACAAATAACAAAGGCAGAGAGGGTGTGGAGAAAAGTGAAGCCTTCTACACTGTTGGTTGGAATGAAAACTGATGCAACCACTACAAAAACAGTTCCTTAAAACCCTGAAAATAAAAAAACAATAAAAACTAACAAACAAAACCAAAAACACCTTAAGATAGAGTTGCCATATGACTCAACAATCCCATTCCCAGGCATATATCCAGAGAAAACTATAATTCAAAAACATACATGCACCCCAATGTTTATAGCAGCACAATTTACAAATTACAATAAATTTTACAGCAGCACAACTTACAATTTCCAAATCACGGAAGCAACATGATAGATGAATGGATAAAGAACATGTAGAATAGATACACAAGGGAATACTACTCAGCCATAAAAAAAAGTTTAAGAATGCCATGCAGTAACATAGATGGACCTGAGAATATCATGTGTTTCCCAGGTGGAACTAATGGTAAAGAATCCACCCACCAATGCAGGAGACGCAAGTTTGATCCCTGGGTTGGGAAGAGCCCCTGAGGTAGGAAATCACACCCCACTCCAGTATTCTGGCCTGGGAAACCCCTGAATGGGCTACAGTTCATGAGGCCACTAAGAGTTGGACATGAATGACTGAGCACACACATGCACACACACACAAAGATTATATCATATTAAGTGAAGTAAATCACAGAGAGAGAAACACTATATAATATCACTTATATGTTGAATCTAAAATATGACACCAATTAAATTATTTATAAAACAGAAACAGACTCACAGACATAGAAAACTTAAGAACTTATCATTACCAAAGGGGAAAAGGTGTGGGGGAGGAATAAATTAGGATTAGCAGATACAAACTACTATATATAAAATGGATAAACAACAAGGTCCTACTGTACAGCACAGGGAATTATATTCAGTATCTTATAATAAACCATAATGTAAAAGAATATATGTATAACTGAATCACTTGGCTATATACTAGAAACTAACACAACACTGTAAATAAACTAGACTTCAATTAAAAAAATTTTTTTTAAGTTTCTTAGTTTTTCTAAAGTTATGTAAATATCCTTAATCAAGTATTTATAAACAATAATAATTATACCTCAATGTCTTTGAAGATCAGATTTAATTGAAGATCAGATTTAACTTTAATAAACATTCATTTCCCACAGGAAATGTCCAAGGCAATCTACTACACTGAAAAGGGTCATCTATTTATACATTCTCCTCCATCTAATGTATCATTTGTGCAAATATGAAGGGATCAATATCTATCACATATCCCTCCCATATATGATGAAGAAATTAAATTATCTTTTAATGGACCTAGACTTCATCCAAGATCTATCACAAGCTACCTGATTTTGATTTCCTCATATATGTTCATTTTAATCTGTACAGGATAAAAGTGATTATATATTTACAATGGCTTTTGATTTTAAGAGACTGCACTGATAAAACTGGATTGGCAGCTTGCCTGACAGAAAAGCCACTTGCTACAGCTCACCACATTGCTCTCAGTAAGGACAACAGGACAACAGAACAAAACATTCTCTCACAAACAGCAAAATCAAAGCGCCTAAATGAACATGCAAGCTCCAAAAGCTTCACTAAAGCAGAGTCACAGGAGTTCTAAGGCTGCAAGGGCCTATCTGTAAGCTAGGGATTCAAAAAAAATGTTGCATGTGTCTATACATTTAAATATCTTTTCCAAAACAACTTTTAAATCAGCTTTCCTCAATAAACACAAAACTAAAACTCTACTGTAATCATAATTAACAAGTCATTAGAAATATACAGGTTTAGGATGTACACTACCATGGAGTTTATAAACCTTCCTTACAATAGTGGTTTAAGAACTTACAGCATCTGCTTTACAAATGGTGTTGGCTACATGTCGACATAGCATCTTTAGCCAGTTTTCTTTTGGAAGTTCCTCTGATGTCATCTGGAAACTGAGCAGCACATTTGCTTGCTCTGTTGGTGGCCTCACAAGCAATGCAAAAGCATTATGGCAATCTAGGGTTCCAGAATAATCACAAACACTACATGTTAAGTTTAGTTCCCTCAGAGCAAGAAAATTCCACTGAATTATCTCTTCTCTATCCAGTAAATTATCTCTGTCTCTATCTTTGCTGTTCCCTTAGTTTTTAACTGGACCAAGAGCAGCATCATATTATGCTGAAACATTGGAAAGAATAATAGATACCATGTGAGGAACCAACAACAATAATTCAATGCTGTTAGGTACGCAGTATTTTCCATAACATTTAATATTTTCTTTAATGAAGCTTTAAAAAATTAGATCATTTCTTAGAATTCTAGATTTAAGTTTTAAAGTGACACTTTAAGAATAATTCAATAATTCAACCTACTTAAATCAATGAAAGAAATAAAATACTCAAATATTAAAACTGTTACAAAAGGTTTTCTGATCAAGATGCTAAAACAGAACCTATTTTAAACAATGAAGTCTTCCATAATTATAATCCAAAAAATATAGACGATTTAAGTAAACGCTCTATGGAGCCCTTAATAAATCCAGAATTTGACAACTGAGTAAAGAGAGCAATATAAGCTGCTATTCAAGTTTTCTTTGTTTCTCATAAATTGAAAGCTTTCCTTCATTCGAGGATAGGATCACTGATAGAACCAGCTTACATTGTAAAAATATATGCCTAAACAAGCAAAATATTGCCAAGCATACATATTATTAGTTACTATTTTAAAAAATGATATTGCTTATGGTAGGTATAAACTTTTGCCAATCTCAAACCTTCAAAGAACCCTCTCTTAACATTCCCAAAGTTTAGAGTAAAAGCTTTCCTTAATATACATGAGCCCACATTGAGTCTACCATAGTTACTTTGGGTATATTTACTCATGCATATCTATTTCTGGTGATATCCTGAATGTATCCCTCACAATGCAGCCACTGGCAACAGGAAATGTTATAAGACGTGGATGCACAGGTATTACACAACAACTGCTTTTGGATTCTGAAGGAATAAGTTTTGGTGTGGGAATGGGGAAAATGGGCACTATTTTAACCCATGTAACCATTTAAAAGCTCTTTGTATCTTAAGAAATGAAGATATTCTATAGAATGAAACAGTACTTTCTTTTGAAAAAAATTAAAAATCAAATCAGTTCCTAGAAATGTAGTGGGATAAAAGTAAAGAACAACTACTTTGCCAGAACTAATCAACAATATTGAAAAATACTTTACCAGTTTAAAAATATACATATAAGGGAATTAAACCTTCAATGATTATAAACTATTTTTATTTAGCCAACAGTTTATACAATGACCATACCTTCTGTCTCTCGTATATCTAGCACCTTCTTAATCTGAGAAAGAGGCATTAGATGAATATGCTTAAGAGAAGCTGGGGGTCGGGTCTGGCCATGAGGACTCCTAAAAGTACCAATAACCTTGTGTCGTTTTCTTGCTATCTGATTTATTGGGGGGAAAAAAAAAGTTGATGTCAGTAACAAAAACAAACACAAAATGCTTAAAAATAAAATGGCACTAGTCATATAAATCTATATGCAGCTCATTTAAGTATCAGTCATTACAAAATTATTATCTGTAAGTAGCATAGTTACTATATGACAAATTCATACATGTAACTATGTAACAGAATTGTTCACATTCAAATGAAAAGAGCTCAAAAGTCAGGAAAACAGATCTATGGAAAAGATCCCAGAGGTGTGAAAGAACTTAGAAGCATTGTGAGAAGTAATGGGATCAAAGGATGATGGAATCTTCAATAAAAGGCCTTGAATTCGGAAAGGAGAATAGTTGCTCTGGGATCACTGCCTTGGGTTCAAAAAAATAACTGACTTCAGTTTAAGAACAGAATTCACAATTATCTCAGATCCCATGCAAGAAACTGAGGATAAAGGAGCGAATAATACAGAACTGGTTCTGGTTCTCATGACACTTGCATACTATTGAGAAATAAGAAAATCAAAGTAACAGTATAAATCAGTGCAAATTATAAAGTCAAGGTGCTGATATAATTTTAATTAAACTGGGAACTCACTAAAGGGAAAGACAGGTAAAGTATTGCTGGAGAAGACAGGAGCAAAATCAGAAAGGATCCTGTGACTCATGATGTACATAAGTTCTGAGAATTTTATAAGGTCTTAAAATTTTTCATTTCCATGAAATCATAGTATATTATTTTGTCCTTTTTAAAAAAATATCTCTTTTGGGCTTATGAAAGTGAAAGTCACTCAGTCATGTCCGACTCTGTGACCCCTTGGACTATAAAGTCCATGGAATTCTCCAGGCCAGAACACTGGAGTAAGTAGCCTTTCTCTTCTCCAGGGAATCTTCCCAACCCAGGGATCAAACCCAGGTCTCCCGCATTGCAAGCGGATTCTTTACCATTTGGGCTTATAATCATTAACTAAAAGACACTAACACAAAATAATTTAGATAAAGTTACTTAATGAATTGAGATTGATTGGTCATATTCATCATGATGAATATGACAAAGTAAGGTTGAAATATGTACTATCTGGGTTGGTTAATGAGAAAAGATCAAAAGGCAGTATCAAATTCACATTGATGCAGAAATATGACACAGATCTATGATAGATACCAAATATTAAAAGCCCATTTACATTAATATGGTGAAAAAAAGCAATTCTTTAATTTCCACTGTAATATTTGAATGTACTTTTAATTTAGCTAAGTAAAATAAAAAATTTTAAGGTTTATTTTAAAAAGGAAAAACAATGACAAGTATTAATACTGATGATACAAATGCTAGTCCATCAAGGTAAGAACTCAAGATATAGATACATCACCTGTAATGTCTAAGTGAAGTCAGTTCAGATCTTATTCATTTTAAATGTTTCTAACATTTACCATTCTCTTCATTCCAAATTTGCTCTAAGTTTTGGTGTTTTTTTAAAAAAAACAAACAAGCAAGCTAAAGAATAAGAGCTTATAAATCTAAAGATTGAAAATTTGGGCTCCAAATTTAATGTTAGAAATAGAACTGTTACAGTTAATGTGATTTTGACATGAAGACTAAGAGAGAGTAGGAAAAAAAGGCAGTGAATTCAGGAAGGATGAAGAAAGTGAGAGGCCAAGCTATGAGATAACAGACTTGGAGGCTACAAGGAATGACCAATGGCACGAATTAAAGTGGAAGGAAGTCAACAAGCCAGTTGTAGAAGACACCACAAAAACTGAAGGGGAAGTAAAATAAAAAAATTTAAAGTAAGCCACAACTCTCCACGGATTAAAGAGGATAAAGATCCGAGTTCAATCCCTGGGTTGGGAAGATCCCCTGGAGAACGGAATGGCTACCCACTCCAGTATTCTTGCTTGGAGAATTCTATGGATGGGGAGCCCGGTGGGCTACAGTTTCATTGGCAGGGATTTATAATTCATTATATTAAATAATCAAGTTATGCCCTTCTTCAACAAAATATGGATTTCTCTTCTGGGAAAATGTACTTAATTTTAAAAAGAAGTCATACTTATTTTGTAAATCTTAAAGAAATATACATACATACAAGAAGTTCCTAAAATTCTTGATCTAGGCATTTATTTACATGGAAATAAACTAGATTTTCATTTTGACATGGATTTGAACTTATGAAAAATTATCAGACTTCTTAATATTAGGTCTTCTCCTAAAAGCATTCAATTTATAGCATTAAACCAACAATTGGTTTCATCAAAAAAGTGATTAAAGTTCACTTTACTTTAAACTTCTTAAATCAACTAATGTAATTAAAACTTATTGTTTCAATCAAAGCTTAGTTTTAACAATTCAATAAAGTCACACAAAACAGCACTGTTATTACACTGTATGAAGGACAACTTTACCTCCAGGCAGTCATTGAAGAGGAAGAGAGTTACTTGTTCTCCTCTGTCACAGGGGTGCTCACCTAGAGAAATTGTTTCAACTCGCTGAACTAAACTTCGGTGAGAAGATAAAAGATTAGCCTGAATAGATTGAAAATATTAATAAAAGAAATTACTTCATGGTAAATAATTTTTAAAGTTATAATTAAAAAGAAAGTTGTGCCAAGTTTCTGTTTACATGATAACTGGCAGAATCTAAATACAGCTGACCTTGAACAACACAGGTTTGAGCTGCACTGGTCCACTTATACAGTTTTTGTTTTCTTTAGTAAATAAGTACTACAGTATTACATGACCCATGATTGGTTGAATCCACGAATACAAAAGCACAGAAACAAGAGTGCCAACAATAAAGTTATATGCAGATTTTCTACTGCTCTGGGCAGGGGGTTGGTGCCCTTAACTCCCAGTAGTTCAAGGGTCAACTATAATAAAAAGAAAATAAGTCGACAATCATCAAAAATGAATACTTACTGGACATCCATCTACCTCATAAACAACATCAAAAATTTGCTTTTGGGCTTCTGTTTTTCTCTTGTCCTCATTAATATGGCTGAAAATGAATAAAGTTATTTTTAAAACAAGAGACTATAAAAACTGTATATATACACATCTTGTGTCACACACACACACACACACACACAATCCCTCCATGTGAATATATCTTAATCTTGATAACCATACCAGTTATTATATTCCCTAAAAGTATCCCACTACATTAAAAAAATTTTCATAGAATCCCTCAGAAAAGTAAGTTTTGCTTTACTTCTTACTACATTCTCTCTCTCTCACTTTAAACTATATTCATTATACACTTCCTAAAATACATTACACTGGTATAAACTGCAGGTTCAGAAGTTCTAAGTTCAGGTAAGGTTTTATGCAAATCATTCCCAAATCATATGCTAATCATTTCACTGAAATAAAAATTAAGACTATTGCTTCCAGACAAGATGGAATAAGAGGAAAAATATATACTTAGCCTGAAAACAACTAAAAAACCCCCCAGAAAAGTATAAAGAAAGAGGCTTTTCAAGTCACCTCAAGTCAATGTCTCAAACAATGCAAGGCTAATTATATCCTATCTACAAAAGATACACTTTACATCAAAGACATGAATAGACTAAAAGTAAAATAATGAAAATATCCAATAAGAGCACAATATACATGGTACCTTCACCAGGTTAAGCCATAAAATAAGCCTCAGGAAGTTTAAAAGGATTGAAATAATACAAAGTATATTTTCTATAAATGGTGAAGTGAAATTAGAAAATCAGTATCAAAAGGAAACTTCAAAAATTCACAAATATGTGGTAATTAAACAACAAACTCCTGAACAACCAATAGGTCAAGATGTAATCACAAGGGAAATCAGAAAACAGTTTCAGTTAAGAACAAAAAGCAAGAACATGACTAAAGTAGTTTTTAAAGGGAAATTTACAGCTATAAAAGTAAACAATTAAAAAAATAAGTTCAAATCAATATCCTAATCTTCTACTTTAACACATTGGGGGTGGGGGGAGGGAGGTAAGAGCAAGCTAAATCTAAAGCATGCAGGAAAAAGGAAATCAAAAGTTATGAACTAGAGACTATAAAAATAATAGAAAAAGATCAACAAAATTAAAAGCGTCTTTCTTTTATGAAAATATGTTAACACTGACTGCATAATTCACAGTTTGTAGAAAGGATCAAGGTAAAGAATGTGTATGTTAAACCACAAAGTGTTGAAAAACACTACTATCCTGATCCCAAAACAACAAACCAAAAGCATGATGGTTGGCTGATCAACATATAAAATGCAAGCATAAGCAAAAACCAAAATATGCATAATGCTCTCAGTAGCAACAGAAGCTCATATCCATTAATTTGGGCATTATTCTACTCCTGGACCCTTTCGCTAGAGCTGGTAACTTCTATCTAGGAGGTCCTTACAAGTATTTTAAGAAACTCTATTTCAGGACTTCCATGGAGGCAGTGGTTGAGGATCTGCCTGCCAATGCAGGGACCACAGATTTGATCCCTGTTCTGGGAAGATTCCACATGCCAAGGAGCAAGTGAGCCTGGGCGCCACAAATGCTGAGCCCACACACTGGAACTACTGAAGCCTGCATGCCTGGAGCCAACAAGAGAAGCCGCTGCAGTGAGGAGCCTGCACACTGCAATGGTGAGCAGTCCCTGCTCTCTGCAACCAGACACAGCTTCAATGCAGCAGCTAAGGCCCCGTGCAGCCAAACAAGGAATCCAGGTGCTAGGTTTTAGAAGATTTTTTTTTTAAAAAGAAACTATATATCATACAAAAGCCCCTCATGGAATCTCAGAAGCTATTTAATTAAATCGACTAAATATGCTTATATGTAAAGTTCAAAAAGGTGCTATATCCTCATCCTTAGGAAGCAAAACAATTAACAGCAATAGAGCTTTTAATTCTGATCGTATTAGTCAGAAAAAATTTCTGATCAATGCTGTCTCCAAGTTAGACCTACAGTAAGCAGCTTAAGTTTAATAATCAATTTCCCCTAGTAAATTTCATTGAGTTTGTACTTTGAACACATCTCCAACAAACCCTACCAATTTAAGTCCACAGAATTCAAAGTAAGAAAAAAAAAGTCAAAGCTAATGTGAAAAACATATTAACATTTTCATTTGATCATGGTCAAATTCCCAAGTTCCATTTGGGTAGTTAATAAGAATATGAAGACAAAACCAAGCTAAGACTGGAAATATATAAAGAAAATGTCTATTGGTGCATTTATAACATTTTCAAATTTCTAAACCACTGTTACCCTCTATATAATAGCATACGTTCACAAGTATGTTTTTGATTAATCACATCTTAACAATACTTCTAACATTTTAATATGTGACTACACTACTAAAAATAATTTAGATACTATTTTACAGAATTTTGTTATTGATCTTTTGCTATTCACAATTCTGTTTCACTAATTCCACTGTAAATCTAAGGAATAACAAAAAAAACTGCAATAATGTACTTACGTCATTACTTCCTTTAGTGATCCAATAGCTTTTTCTAGAGTGCTTTTGTCAGGATTTTCTTCAGATGTGTGCTTCTTAAGATCTGTAATATTTTATCAAATATTTTCTCTATGATTAAAAGAAATTCAATGGTTTTCCAACTATGGCTTAAAAATGCTGTCCACTGTGACAGACACAGTTTAATTTAAAAAAATAGTATCTAACTTTTCCTTTTAAAAAAGAGTTCCCTTAAGAACGAGTTTCCCAGGCAGTGCTAGTGGTAAACTATCCACTTGCCAAAACAAGAGACATTAAGAGATGCGGGTTCAATCCCTGGGTCGGGAAGATCCCCTGGAGGAGGAAATGGCACCCCACTCCAGTATTCCTGCTGGGAGAATCCCAAGGACAGAGGAGCCTGGTGGGCTACACTCCACAGGGTTGCAAAGAGTTGGTCACGACTGAGTATCTGAGCACCCTTAAGAGCGCTCTTCTTAAATGTATTAAATAAGTTTCCACATTTTTTCACTGAATAAACTTTCCGAATATGTACCAGATTTTCTTTCACTATTTCAATTCCCTTCTAGTAAAGTTTGATGACTCCTAAATCCTTCAAACTCTCTCTGAATTCATGATTCTCAGTTAACTAAGAAGTCATTATACATGCTATATTTCATAGTGGGGCCCATGGCTCCATCACAGAGAGCAGCCGGTGTGAAGAGAAGGTTTTGTTCAGTTTATATTCAATGAGGTGCTTAGTCTTTGACTCTTCTTACCCAAGTTGCTTAATGTTCTACCCAATGGTTCCCTATATCTTCCCCCACCCACCACCTAATCTTTTAAGTGCAATAATAGAAGAAAGGCTAAGAAACCAAGTTCATTTTTGTCATGACAACATTTGATGGATTGCTATAAGTACTTAATAAAACAACAATGAAGATAAATAAAAAAAGAAATAGCCTATTTTGTAAAGTTAAAAAGGTTGCATATTCATAAATTTTCCTTGTAATCTGTAAAATAGGATAGTTTTTAAAGACTGTGGAAATCATTTTATATGCTACTAATTCTAAACTATATTAGGTAACCTCAAAGAAAATAAAAATTACCAATTTTTGTAGTTACCACCACAGTTCATAGTTTAACCAATATATTTCAAAGACAATAATAGATAAAAAGAGTCACAAACTTAGCCCCCTTAAGCCTCCTACACACACTATTGTAGTTAAGGTCTAGAGGTCAAAATGCTTTGTTACACTTATTCCTGTTTTATGCAATTTAGTTCTCATACTTAAATTTAAAAGTATAAAATTTAAATTTAAAAATATAAAAACTGACACTGTTCTAGACCTATTCACTACTTTAGTCAGGTAAATATAAAAGCATATAAATACACCTTTCTTTTCATGCAGGTAAAATTTATTCACAAAAATTAACTCTGCTATAGATGTCCTTTTCATTGAAATCTATAATTTAAGTTTTAGAATAAATGGATGGATGTTTCAAGAGTGTTCTGCACACTATAAGGAAAAAAAAGCATAAGATCAACCATAAAGAATTTTACTAAGACTCAGAAAAAGACTAAATAACTTCAGACATCGTAATCATCTCTCATCTTGTGATTTTGTGGGTGAATTTTATGTGGATGTAAACTGTTTGGGAATCAGTGACATACCATGAAATGTAAGAAGACTTTTAGGAGGGAGGCAGAAAGTTCAATACTAGTCAGTAAAACTGATTTCACAACAAATAAAAGCATTTCTAGGCCAGAGTTAATTTTTGTAGCACCAGTGATTATTCAGATTATCCATAAAGATATTTTCTACATAAAAGATACAATCTTTAAAACTGAAACCTAAGAGCACTTTGAAAATGAGAAATTTTGCCAATTTTTTAGACGAAAACAATTACATAAAAACATCCAAAATTGTCTGAAAAGAGATCAGACAGGTACCATTTAAAAGTAATGCAACGCTGGGTAACCTCTGTACTGGTCGGATGAGAAGTTCAACAAGGCTTTGCCGTCCACATTCTGGTTTAGCTTGGTTTATCTGAAAAGAATTAATTTATTCAAAATTTATTTTTAACATTTTCTGCAAAGATTATTATACATTACATTTCTTAGATTACACCTTATCATTTGTGCCCTGATAAGAATGGGAGAAGTAGGGTGGTAGTTGTTCTCTGGCAGATTATTGTGGTTCAGTAATTCCCCAAGGCCTAAAATAGCCTCTTGGCAAGCCAAGGATTAACACCTTAAACAGAGAGTGAGTTCCTCTAAGCACTCTTTTACATTTCATTTCAGTTTTTCTTAAATCTACATCATTCAAAAAGAAAAAAATTTTTAAAATATTAATTATGCTGATACCATTTAGATAAAGTAAGCCACACCAATAAGAAAATCATTAAAAGCAAAGCAAGATCTCATTGGAAAAACTTTAAAACTGTTTGAGAACTAGAATATGCATAACTTAAAAAACACACACACACACAACATTCATATTCACTCCACTGCCTCTTGGATCCTGCTTGTGGCATATCAAACCTTGTGATGCTAAACATCACTGCCACTTTCAAGTAAAACTAAACACATAACATTAAGGTGTTCTGACGTGGATGTATCTTTACTAAAAGATATATCTTTACTATTAAAATTTAATTTTAATAAATTCCTTCAGAAAATAATTCTCTGATTTTTATTTCAAAGAAATATACATTACCTTCAGAAAAGCATGAAATCTTGGTTTCTGTTTTTCACATTTAATAATAGTTTCCTTGCTCATTTCAAAGAAGTTCACAAAGGGAGGATAGATTTTCACCAAATCTTTGGACTAGTAACAGGCAAACAAAAAAACCCAAAACCCATTAATTTGTGATGGCTGTTACCCTTAGTCAATGAAACTTAAAGTTGAATAACCAGTAGTCAAAATCCGACATACCAGATACAAAAGAAAAGTTCAAAATAAATTTCTTCTCAAGGTAAATACAGGCAGTTTATTTCATAGTGAGTTAATTCATAGTGAGTTAATTGCTAAAGAAAATGCATCAATTGTTAAACAGAGCCTAAAACCTGAAAAGCAAATAAATACTCAGAAACAAACAAAAGTTGATGTGTCTTTGTTGAACTTCAATATAAGCTTATTGTATTGATCAACATGACAAAGTTTTAAAACTTCTATTAATTTAGAATACAGTAGCAATTATAGTTGATCTATGAAGAACCCAAGAACATGCTATTATCTTTTGAAGGATCCAAACAACCATTAAAAGATCAACTGTACTGGGCAATTTTGAAGTACAAGGAAAATGTCTTGATAAATTGAGACCAAGAGGTACCAAAAAGATCTGGGACAATAATTTGCATATTTGAAATTCTCAGTCAACCAGAAAGAACATCTAACGGCTATACGGTAAGGACTAAAGTTAGGAGACCTTAGAAATCAAAACTAAATGGGCAAGAATCCAAGGCACTGAAACTTACCTGGTAGGACTGAATCATATCCAAAGAGACTGAAGGAAATTTATAAATTCTATTTGTGGCACCTCATTCAAAACCAATATGCTTTATTTAATAAACTTAACCTATGTTCTTAGAGAAGAAACAGTTCATTGGAAGGTTTTATGCAGACACAAAGACAGTAAAAAGTGCTATCAACTAAGGAAAGGAAAAAACAAAACTCAATTATAGAAAACTTTAAAAAATCATTAATCTATGGCTGTTTATGATGGGCAAATAACATGATATACGGTAAAATGACTGTAACACAACAGTTAGTATGGAAGGCATGTTTCAGAAGACAAGAACACTTGCAAAATATTTTACAAACACAACAATGCCTAAGTTTTTTAAAAGTTCTCATATTTAAACAGGTAACTTTCATTCCCTGCCATTTCTTGATGAGATGATACTTTAATCTGAATACTAAAAAAAGAAACAAAATTACTTACATATTTAAGAAAGATATCACCAATGCTTTTGCTCTCATCCCAATTAACAATAAGGTCTTCAAGATCATCCTGAAAAAACACACAATGAGACAATAAATGATTCTGACAATCACTTTAGCATCTCTTAAAATCTGAATATTCATTTGAAAGACATACTTTACAGAGTACCTTAATTTGGCATGTATAACAGTAACATTCTCAGTAAGAAATTAACTTTTTGACTACAAGAAAAATATCCTTTGAAAAATAATTTAAGAAAACATAAAGAATGTCAAATCAATAAGACAGTCTAATTTCTCAGTATGATGTGCAAATGTAATTAATTTATACAGCTGATTGGTTCACTAATTAATTAATTAATTACAGAAAAGCACTTTTGATTTTGGCTGTTGAAGCATCAGCCATTAGAAACTGTAATCTCTAATAGAGGTCAGCAAACGTTACTTAAAGGGCCAAATGGTAAATATTTTACAGCTTGCAGGCCATATGGTTTTGTCACAAGTCCTCAATTCTGTCTTTGTAGAATAGAACCATAAACAATATATAAATAATTGTGAGTGGCTGTGTATCAATAAAACTCCCTTTATGAAAGTAAGCAAAACTTAACCAAAATGCTAAACTGGCTGGATTTGGTCCACTGATCATAGTCTGCTAATTCCAGAGCAGTAAATTTTCTTAATCATCATCCTAAAATATTACTTATTAGTAAAAATTTAGAAGATATTTAAAAGGTTTCTAAGGTAATAAAACCAGATGATAAGAAATGGCAAGAAATGACATGCCCTAACTGAAATTCTAAAAGTGACTTTAAAGTAGAAATTAATCAATAAACTTATACAAGAGGTTGTCAAACCGTTACATGCAGATGCTCTCCCAACACATGTGGGATCCATAAGATTAAACTATTTTCATACAATATGAAGGCATTATTTGACTCCTTGATTCTCTTATAAGGATACAACAGAGTCATATAGAGGCGACATGATGTGTGATACTGAAAAAGAATGAATTAAGAAGTAGACAGGAGAAACAAGTTTTCTATTAAGCCAGACAAAAAAAAGCAAAACAAATCAACATCACGCTTCACTGTTTCTGTTTTGGAAATTAGTTATTTTTCAAAAAGAACATGTTATTTATGCTACCACATAAGGTATTATTATTAATGTATATTTTAAAAACTGCATGAGTTCAGTTCAGTTCAGTTGAGTCACTCAGTCGTGTCCAATTGTTTGTGACCCCATGGACTGTAGCACACCATGTCTCCCTGTCCACCACCAATTCCTGGAGCTTGCTCAAACTCATGTCAATCGAGTTGGTGATGTCATCCAAACCATCTCATCCTCTGTCATCCCCTACACCTCCTGCCTTCGATCTTTCCCAGCATCAAAGTCTTTTCAAATGAATCAGTTCTTCCCATCAGGTGGCCAAAGTATTGGAGTTTCAGCTTCAGCATCAGTCCTTCCAATGAACACTCAGGATTGATATCCTTTAGGATGGACTGGTTGGATCTCCTTGCAGTCCAAGGGACTCTCAAGAGTCTTCTCTAACACCACAGGTCAAAAGCGTCAATTCTTCGGCACTCAGCTTTCTTTATAGTCCAACTCCTACATCCATACATGACTACTGGAAAAAACATAGCTTTGACTAGATGGATCTTTGTTGGCAAAGTAATGGCTCTGCTTTTTAATATGCTATCTAGGTTTGTCATAGCTTTTCTTCTAAGGAACAAGCATCTTTTAATTTTATAGCTGCAATCACCATCTGCAGTGATTTTGGAGCCCAAGAAAATAAAGTCTGTCACTGTTTCCATTGTTTCCCATCTAGTTGCCGGAAGTGGTAGGACAGGATACCATGATTTTAGTTTTCTGAATGCTGAGTTTTAAGCCAGCTTTTCGTTCTCCTCTTTCACTTTCATCAAGAAGCTCTTTCGGTCCACTTCGCTTTCTGCCATTAGGATGGTGTCATCTGCATACCTGAGATTATTGATATTTCTCCTGGCAATCTTGCTTCCAGCTTGTGCTTCATCCAGTCCAGCATTTCTCATGATGTACTCTGTATATAAGTTAAATAAGCAGGGTGACAATATACAGCCTTGACATACTTCTTCCCAATTTAGAACCAGTCTGCTGTTCCATGTCTGGTTCTAACTGTTGCTTCTTGACCTGCATACAGATTTCTCACAAAGCAGGTCAGGTGGTCTGGTATTATCATCTCTTTCAGAATTTTCCAGTTTATTGTGATCCACACAGTCAAATGCTTTAGCGTAGTCAATGAAGCAGATGTTTTTCTGGAACTCTCTTGCTTTTTCAGTGATCCAACAGATGTTGGCAATTTGATTTCTGCTTCCTCTGCCTTTTTTAAATCCAACTTGAACATATGGAAGTTCTCTGTTCCTATAGCACTGAAGCCTTGCTTTGAAAATTTTGAGCATTATTTTACTAGTGTGTGAGATAAGTGCAATTGTGCAGTAGTTTGAACATTCTTTGGCATTGCCTTTCTTTGGGATTGGAATGAAAACTGACCTTTCCAGTCCTGTAGCCACTGCTGAGTTTTCCACATTTGCTGGCCTATTGAGTACAGCACTTTCACAGCATCACCTTTTAGGATTTGAAATAGCTCAACTAGAATTCCATCACCTCCACTAGCTTTGTTCGTAATGATGCTTCCTAAGGCCCACCTGACTCTGCATTCCAGGATGTATGGCTCTAGGTGAGTGATCACAGCATCATGGTTATCTGGGTCATGAAGATCTCTTTTGTATAGTTCTTCTGTGTATTCTTGCCACCTCTTCTTAATATTGTATATCCACATATAAAAAGATGATCTTTAAACTTTCACCTTAGCCAAAGATGAACTTAAGATAAGTTATAGATCTAACTGTAAGAGCTAAAACAAAACAACTTCTAAAAGAAAAAATAGGAGGAAATCTTCAAAATCTTGGGTTAGGCAAAAATTTCTTAGATGTAACAGCAAAAGCACATTACATTTTAAAAAATGGATAAACCAGACTTCATCAAAATTAAAAATTTTGGTACTTCCAAAGACACCATTAAAAAAATGAAATAAGCAACAATAGGCTGGGAGGAAATATCTGCAAAACACGTAGCTGATAAAGGACTTGTACCAAGAATTTACAGAGAACCCTTACAACTTGGTAAGCTAACACACAACCCAACCAAAAAATGGGCACCAGATCTAAGCACACATTTCACAAAGATAATATACAAATGAAAAAGAAGTAGATGAAAGATGTTCAACAACATTAATCATTAGGGAAATGCAAATAAAATCATTTTATATCCTAGAATGGTTATAAAAGAAAACATAAAAGTACCGGCAAGAATGGATAGAAATTTGAACGCTGATACATTACTATTAAGAATATAAGATGATGTGAAAACCTGATAGTTTCTCAAATATTTTAAATGAAGACTGCCAATATAACCCAGCAATTCTACTAAGTATCTATGGAAGAGAATGAAAACACACCCAAACAAAGATTTGCAGACAATGTTCATATCAGCCTGATTCATAACTGCCAAAAACTGGAAACAACCTAAGTTTCTATCAACTGGTGAATGGATAAAGAAATGCAGCATATCCTTATAATGGACTATTATCTGGCCACACAAAGGAAGAAACTACTAACATGCTAAATCATAGATGAAATTCAAAAATATACTAAGTTAAAGGAGGCAGACATAAGACACTACCTATTATATATTTATGTTATACGGGATGTCTAGAAAAGGCAAATTTGTACGTCAGAAAGTAGATTAATGGTTGCCTGGACCAGGGCTAAGAATGGGCATGAAGGATCTTAGTGGGGAAGATGAAGATGTTCTAAAATGTATATGGTGCATGATTTGGTGGCTTATTAAAATCACTGAATCATATATTTTAAAAAAGGTTGAGTTTAAAGATGTAAAATATACTTCAATGAAACTGTTAAAAAACTGAGGCATCTTTAAAAGTATTTTTAAACTTTCTGTTTCAATTTCAAAAACAGTTAATACAAATAAATAAAACCCACATAAACACAAGTTCCTCGATCATTTTTTAAGAATGAAAAGGGATCCTGAAACCAAATAATTTAAGAACTATTATCCTATACTCTGGGCTTCCCTTGTGGCTCAGCTGGTTAAGAATCCACCAGCAATGCAGGAAACCTGGGTTAGATACCTGGGTTGGGAAGATCCCCTGGGAAAGGGAAAGGCTACCCACTCCAGTATTCTGGCCTGAAGAATTCCATGGACTATATAGTGCATGGGGTCGCAAAGAGTCGGACATGACTGAGTGACTTTCACTTCACTTCACATGCTATACTCTGCAGATTCAGAAGTCAAAAGGGAAAAACTTTACTTTCAGTAGTGTAAAGGTGAACTCAAGCAAGAATAATTAAACAGCCCACAGAGTCAAGAATTAAGATTTAACTATTTAAAATTGCACTTGAAAGAAAGAATAAAAGGATTATACATAAGGATAATCTTGGAACAATATAATGCAGTGAATTCTAGCACTGACTAATTAGTTTTAAATACTGGCTCTAGAGCATGTTAAGTTTTGTGCCCTTGGGCAAATTACTTAACCTATAAGTACCTCAATTTTCTATTCTGAAAAATAAGTATAGCAATGACTCCTATCTCATAAAGGATTAAATTAGCTAATATTTGTATAGCACTTAGAAGAAACCCTAACAAAAATTAGTGCTCAGTAAGTTACTATTAACTATCTTTTCCTATGTATTTAATATAAATATGGGAGATATTTGGAAAACTGTGATGTAAAAGAGAAAAAACCTATAGCTCTGCAAATATAATCTAGTAGTACATTTTTAAAGTGTAAACAATTACAGGATGGTGGTATATAGTTATATGAGACCATTACAATCAGAAAGCAAAATAATCTCTAGGCCACCTGAAAAAGTCTACTGTTTCTGGTTAACCTTTAAATCCTTGAGCCTGTTGATTAAATAAAGATCTCTGCCCTAATCACTTGGTCAGCTCAGAGACTAAGTAATAAAGAAACTAAGGCTTAGAGAGATTAACTTGCCCCAAATCACACAGTTGTGAACCAGTACTCACACTCATGCCCGCCTGACTCCAGATTCCATGTCACTCTACGAGATCTATAGCACAGTTATCGCCATTAGAAACGGGGAGTCAGGTGGGCAGGTGAGCCCCCAAGAGTATTAGTCATAGCGCCACCATTTCTTACAATGTTTCTGTGGGAATATGCTTGACTCAGTTTAGTACAGACCCTGGGACATGTCTCCTCCTTGTCCATACACAATTCTCCATAGGATGCTCCCAACATTACCTCCTGGGAGTAAGAAAGGAAAATTCTATAGTTCTAAGACATTGAGCATAGAGCTCCCAAAGCCTATTTAAAAAGTAGAGGAAGTTGTAAACAGATTGAACTAAGAAGTTAAGCTCTTTCTTTCTTTTCGTCCTTGCTAAGATTTCTTCTATACCATTACCATCTACTTTACACAAGATGGGTTTCTCTTTTACTAAGGTCACTGCACAAGACACCAAATCAGCAGATTCTCCAATACAAACCTGTTCCTGAAACAAGTTCAAGGTACCCTGAGACTTAACACTAAATTAACAAATAACAAAGCATAAACACAGAAAGAAAAGGTCCTCCCTCAACTCCTCTCTTGCTCTTTTGTTTCTTCCTAGTTCAGTACAAAAGCAGGTATTTGCAAATCAAGAACCAATGCTGATTAGCGCTGAAAACGAAAAACTCACACACAGAAAAAGATGCTGATAATAATCTCAGACATCCTCATATTAAGATAACTATTAGCATGCTGCATGCTGTAAGTTGCAGATAAATGAAGAATGAGGCTAAAGGTGTACACATCTAAGATGACAAAATAAATTTAACTTCCGATCCTGATTTGGACATTTAAAAAGTAGCATGACCAATATTCAGCAAACATCTACTGACACAAATCTAACTGCCAGAGAGTGGTTGTAAACACAGTGGGTAAAAAATGATTTTAATCCTTCACAAAACAACCACTCATGATTCAGACACTACTATCCCCACTTTACAGAGAAGAAAACTGAAGCAATTAAAGTTAACTTACTTTGAACCCAAATCTACTTTATTCCACAGTCCAAATTTGTAACCACTATGCAATGCTATAAAATACAAATAAATACCAGTGCTTCTCAGGAATACCATACCAATATGATATGAAAAACTGTACAAGTTTAAGCCATATTTACATGATTTACTCATTTATATACTAAAAGAATATATCTACAGCATGATAATCAAGAAGCAATATAGCATTAGTAAATTAGGACATGGAAAGAACCTAAACGTCCATGAATTAATGAATGGATAAAGAAAATGTGGTATATACAACAAAATATTATTTAGCCATGAAAAAGCCATTATGCCTTCTGTAATAACATGTATAGTCCTTGAGGGCATTATGATACATGAGATAAGTCAGAGAAAGGTAAGTACTATATGATCTCACTTATATGTGGAATCTAAAAAAATCCCACAAAAACACACACACAAAAATCTCATAGTTACAGACTGGCAGTTGCCAGAGAGAGGGGAAGGAGGGTGGTTAAAATGGGTAAAGGTGGTCAAAAGGCAAATTTCCAGTGATTTTACTTACTCCAGTCCTAAAGATATAATGTAGAGTATGGTGACTATAAACAATACTATTTTGTATATCTGAAAGTTGCCAAGAAAGTAAAACTAAAAAGTTCTCATCAAAAAAAAAAAAACCACTATGTGTGGTGGTAGATCTTACCTAAACTTATTGTGGTGATCATTTTGCAGTACATACCTGTATGAATCCATTATTGTTGTATACCTAAAACTAACACAATGCTACATGTTAATTTTATCTCATAAAGAAAGGGGGTTGGGAGCAAGAAAACATAAGGGTTTAGGAGAACAGACTTTGAAGTCAGACAAAGGTGAAAGTGAAGTCATGTCCAACTCTTTGCAACCCCCTGGACTGAGCCCACCAGGCTCCTCCGTCCATGGGATTCTCCAGGCAAGAGTACTGGAGTGGGTTGCCACCGACCCAGGGATGGAACCCAGGGATTGAACCCGGGCCTCCCGCATTGGAGGCAGGCGCTTCAACCTCTGAGCCACCGGGGAAGTTAGAGAAAAAAGGGTTCAAAGTCAGTGTCCAGCATCTATGAGATGACTGACTTTAGAAACGCATTCAGTCTCTACATAGCAGTTTCACATCTGCACAATGTAGACAATCATAGTATCGAATTCCTGGTAATGTTCAGTGGATGTGGCAGTACCCGATAAAGGGCAGGCTACATTTAAAAGCAAGAAAAGAAAAAATGCTATGCAAAAAAAAGACAAAGAAAATACAGCATAATTTTGGAAGTATTTGGGTTACAGAATTATAGGTATTTTCTACTTTTTCCTTTTCTCCTTTATTTTATAAATATATGTTTGACAGCACATATGGGTTTCGTGGTAGGAAAAAACCATAGGCTTTAATATTTTAAATGCATGACAAACCTGAAATTAGCTAAAAAACCACTACTACTTGAAATACTGGTAATCCAAGTTTGTAGAAGAAGCTTAAAAAATTGGGTACATATTAGAAAACTAAAGAGTAACAATCATTTTCAAAGCTCCAGTGACTCACTAGTGAAGGAAACATAAAAGCAGACACAGATATAGAGTACAAACTAATGGTTACCCTTGGGGAGAAAGAAGTGAGAAGGGCAAGATAACAATAGTGGAGGCAAACAGGGTTATTATGGGATTATATGAAATCATGTATACAAAACATTTCAAAATTGTAAAGCAATATAGAATTTAAATAACCATTTATTCACTAAAAAAATTATTAACAACAAAAAAAGGTCCAGTGAATCCGAGAACAAAATTTGCCAAACTGAGATTATGACTCTGTACACATAGAAAGTTTATAACATTTTATATTAGATAGGAACTTGCATGCCCAGAATGGCTAAATGACTGACACCAAGTGATCTACAAATTAGCAGTAAAACACCAAGATGAAATCTGCTTGCCATTCTACTCTATTTTTATACCTCTCAATGTTTCTCATGAGGAAAAAAAAAAAAAAAGACCATTCCAAGAAGACTTTACTCTTCAAATATTCAGAATCCTAATTGGAAATAGGGATAAACTAGCCTGAGATTCCATAGCTTTTTAATCTTTAAAAAAAAGAAAGACTCCTTCAAACTTACTTGTAAATCTAGAAATAGGTGAAATATGATCAAGGATCTTGAGAAAATACAAAATATAAGCACTGGATAAACTGCATTTTCATTAATTTACAGATCTTTCATATTTTTGTAAGTAAGTTAATGTATTTGTTTGAAAACATTCTGTAATTCAGACCGATCATTTTATTGTAACACTGAGTAAACATTAGGGAAAAGATAAATTAGCAATAATACTGTGCCTCAAATAAACCTCACTGGCTATGACACTGCCACAAAGCTGTAATAAACATCAAAACGGGTTGTTCTGAGAAGAAAACTAATCAGTTGTGCTCAGGCATCATATATGAAGAGGAAATAAAGCTAAATTACTTTTAAGAGTTCATCTAAATCTTTCCCCAAATTACTTTACTATGAGAGATTGATACCTGGAATCCAGTGACCCTTCAACAAAGGAAAATTATTATAATAAAAAGTAGACAGCATTGTATTTTACAGTTTTGGAATTTATCTGACTAGATACATAGAGAGAGAGAGAGAGAGGAATGAATGAAATGATCTCTAACCCTTTCCAACTTCCGTTTTTTAAACAAACAAAACAAAAACAAACAACTCAAGATGAATAGCGCTAAAAAACAAGAAAAACAGTACTAGCAAACACATTATCTTAATAGAAAAGACTTTATAAGGTCTATATTCTTTATTTTCAAATTAATCAAAGTAAAATGACAGGCAGCAGCAAAAAAACATTAATAAGGTGCTAGAGCAAAGAGGCAAATGATTCAAAGGAATAAATGAGGGACTAAAAAATTTTAAATACAAATTTTATTTAGCTAACTAGAAGTACATGAAAAATCACAGGAAATATACATAATCTAAAAAGAATTACTACCACACTAATATATACAAATTTACCTTTATCTTAGTGTGCACATCAAAGATATCTGGAATACTACCAAAAATAGTCTTAATTTCTTCTGGTGCAAGGATAGGCCCACCTCGTTGTCCTTCCTCTTCCAATGGCACTTGAAACAACTAAAGGGTGAAACAAGACTAGATCAGGTAAACTGGAAGAAGAAAAGAGTTTTTTAAAATCTAATGTATATACAGTGATAAAGGAGAGATAAGATATTAATGGAAAAGAAAAGTATTTCTTCCTAACCTAAATTTGAGACCTTTTCTCATAACATTTTCTAGTCTATTTTATCCTATTTATTTACACATCTGTGTGTATATATATATATATATATATATATATAAAATCTTGTAACAAAATATTAATTAGAATCTAGTAAAAGTTTATCACATTCCTACAAATCATTAAAATTGCTAGTGTGATACAGAGTGATTTCTACTTTTTTAATTCAAGTTACTAAGGAAGAAAGCAATAAGGAATCATACTCAATATAGGTACTAAATGTTTTAAAAAAACTTGGTTTAGGGGAAAAAGACTGGATTTGAAGCTAAAAGACCCATCTGTATCCATGCTGCTGCTTCTATCAATCTTAAAAAAATACTCCTACAAATAGTAAGTAAATTTAGCAAGGTCTTAGGGATGCAAGGTCAGCACGCACATGCATGCACACACACATGCATGCAGGCACACTGAAAAAGAATCCTATTTCTCTGAACCAGTTTTGTACAAGCTGAAACCAAAAGTTAAAAAGCAGTATCATTTACAATAAAAAACCAAAATGCTTAAGTATAAATAGAATAAATCACATACATGATGCTGAAAACTACAGAATGTTGATGAAAGAAATCAAAGAAGACCTAAATAAATGAAGACATATGGTCATGGATTGAAAGGCTCAACACGGTAAAAATGTGAACTGTCCCCCACCCCCGAACTGACATAAGGATTTTACCCTAATGCCTATCAAAAATGCCAAGACTTTTCATAGATAAAGAAAATCTGATTCTAAAGAGTCATATGGAAGGGCAAAGAGCTTCTTACTATCAAGCTCCAGTATTCAAGACTGTGCAACACTGGTGAAGAGAGAAACATTCAAGATCAACAGAACAGACTACAGACACTAGAAACAAATCCATGCAAATTTTTTGACAAAGGTGCAAAAGCATTTAGTGCAGGAAGGCAAGTTGTCCAGCACACGGTACTAAAACACCATCTGCCAAAGGCAAAACAGATGAACCTCAGCCTAAACATAATCTTTATACAAAAATTAACTCAAAAGTAATCACAGACCTAAAGAAAAAAACCCACAACTACCTAACATTTAGAAGAAAACCTAGGAGAAAACCTTGTGACTTAGGCTTATGTAAAGAGTGTTTAAATATGAAATCAAAAGCATGATGTATAGAAGAAAAAAAAAATGATAAATTGGACTTTACCAAAACTAAAAACAACTCAGCAAAAAACTTACAAGAAAACATGTTATAGAATAGGAAAAAAATGTCTGCAAATCACATTATCTAACAAAGGACTATATCCAAAATATATAAAGTAACTCTCAAAACTCTGGAAAGAAAACAATCCAATTAAAAACAAGTAAAATCTTTAGTTATTTCAATTAAAACAAGATATACAGATATCAAATAAGGACAAAGATGTTCAGTATCACTAGTCTTTTTGAAATGTAAATTAAAGCCAGGATGAGATAATACCACACGGGTGTCTGAATGGCTAAAATAAAAAACACTAATAATGTAAAGCAATGGTGGGGATGTGAGCTGAAACTTTTACATGTTGCTGGTTGAAAAGCAAAACTGTACAGCCCCTCTGGCAAAAGGCTTGACAGTTTTTTTTTTAAATCAAGCATTACTTACCATATGATCCAGCAGTATCACTCCTAGGTGTTTACCCAAGAGAAATGAAAATTTATGTCCTTATAAAACTTGTACACAAATGTCTGTAACAGCTCTATTGATAACCACTCAAAACTGGAAACAACCCAAATGTCCTTTTAATAAGTCAATAGATAAACTGTGGTACATCCATACAGTGGCATACTACTCTGCAAAAGGATCAAACTATTTATAAACACAAGTTAGATAAAACCCAAAGGAACAGGTTGTATACAATGACTCTGCTTTATGACATTAAAAAAAAATTATAGTAACGAAGAAGAGATTAGTGATTACCAGGAGATGGAATGAGAAAAAAGTGTGACATAAAGGAATAGTAACAGGAGTTTTGGGGGGTGATAGAAATGTTAAATGTATCAAAGAATTAATTTACGGTATAATTAAAATTCTAAAATATTGACTATTCAAAGTAAAAATAATAATGTATTATTGGGTTAACATATGTAGAAGTAAAATGACTATAGCACAAAGGCCAGGATGGGATTAAAGAAAGGAAGGAGGGAGGGAGAGAGAGAAGAAAAGAAAGACCATTGTAAATAGTAAGAAACTTCATAAAGATTATGAATTGTTCTTACAAGTTTACCACCTCTTTCCCCAAAATACATATATATATTCAGGCCTTCCATTTTTGCAAGTATGGTGAGCACCTACTTGCTGAAAACAAAATAATGAAGTAAGAAAAACCTCTGTCTAAATACATCAATAAGCTGACAAGAAAGTGAGGTACTTTCAGAGGCCAAAATCTAAGTAAAAGTAGAAAGCTGAGTACTAAATCTTTTTCCCAAAGACATTTGCCTAAATCGATGAAAGTTAAACCTTCACCTATAAAAGCCTCAGTGAGAACAGAAGACCCATTCAAAACCTAGATTCCAACATATTAACAACTTCCAGTAAAGTCAGAAGTATGTTTAACCAATGACCCAGAAATTCCAGATTTCTGCCCAGAATATGTTCTCAAGCAGCCATGAGTAAGAATACTCACAGAAGCACTACTAGTAACAGTAAAAACAAACAGCAGTGAAAACACCAAAACAAATTCCAATGTCTACTAAAAATAAAAGTTAATTAGGTGGATATAATCATACAGGAAAATGAATTACTGCCACATGCAATGACACAGATGTATCTTAAGAACATCTCCATCAAGTGAAAAAAGCAATTCACTAAAAAATATATACTGTTACATTTAGACAGTTTGATTTTCTACATATATATGATAGATCTATAAGGAAAATGGTAAGCACAAAACTCCAGGTAATGGTTATCTATGAGAGAGGGAAAAGAAATGGGATTGGGAAAAAACATAATAGAAGATGCAAAGGTATCTATAACCATTTATAAGCATTCCTTTATGTTGTCAACATTTCATTAAAAATCCTAAACAAAAATATTCAGACCATCAAAATACATCAAGATTAAAACTTCTCAGTACTCTTAAGACAGTCTCTTAAAATATTTTTACTGTTTTAATCCCGCATATAAAATTAGTTAGCTAAAAACTAGTTATTCTACCTTTCCAATATATCTCAAATCTAGCCTCTTTTCATTCTCACTGAGACTATCCTAAGAAGTTTAGTTTATTAAAATCTCTAACCAAGAGTGCTGAAATAATCTTCAAATTGATCTCGCCTCCATGATTTCTTTCCCCTTCTTCAATACCTCTTTCAAAGTGAACCAAATGACTTTCTAAAATACAAGTCAAATGTTACTATCTTTCCCTTCCTATCAAAAATTCTTTAACAACAAATGACCTAGCACACTGTACAAAGGCCTTCCCCAGTCTGGAGTAAGCAATCTTATCTCAACTCTCACTATATTCACACCCTAAACTCTACCCTTAGTTCAGTTCAGTTCAGTTGGTCAGTTGTGTCCAATTCTTTGCAACCCCATGGACTGCAGCATGCCAGGCTTCCCTGTCCATCACCAACTCCCAGAGCTTGCTCAAATTTATGTCCATTGAATCGGAGATGCCATCCAACCATCTCATCCTCTACTGTCCCCTTCTCCTCCTGCCTTCAATGTTTCCCAGCATCGGGGTCTTTCCTAATGAGTCAGCTCTCTTGGGGTGGCCAAAGTATTGGTGTTTCAGCTCCACCCTACCCCTAACCCACCCTCAACTCAAATTCCCTTGGACTATTCTGTAATACTGTGAAGGATTACAGTCTTTTATACTGTTGGAATAATCTCAAATACACTTCCCACCCATATTCTTTGCATGCACTAATCACAGTCATGCTTTAAAACTCACTTCAATTTGCATCTTCTGTATGATAGTTTTTCAGTGTTCAACCATTGAAAATTCCAGCCCAACACCTTCCCTAAACTGGAAGAGGAGCAAAATTCTCACCACACATATCTCCAAATACCTTAACTAAACCTCTCATGAGGTTCAGAACTTTCCATTTGGTTATAATTAGGTGTGTATGTTTTAACTCCTATTCCAGTCTAAGTTCCTTTAAAAGAGGAATCCTCTTTAACACATGTCACAACACCTTATATTAATAGGCACCTAAGTATTACAAGGGAAAAATCAAGAAGTTTCACTTAATTTGGGGGGCTAAGTAAAAATTAAGCTATTCCAAATTCAAATTTTTAAAAAAAATTTGTAGGACACATTAGTAGGACACATTGTAGGACACATTAGTCCTGCAACAAAGCTTAAAGAGAACACTACAATGAATGTAGCCCACAAATTTTTAAGTAAACTTAGGTGAATTTATACTAAGCACAGTAGTGTGGAAGTTTGTCTACAGTGTAATAATTACAAGTGCTTTTAAAAAAGAAGTTTTAGTGAATGTAACTGATATGCAAATTATAATCGGAAACTCCAGGACATTTACCATGGCCTGAAAGGATTTACATTTCTAGGTTATAAATGCTACCAAAGTACATGAACAGTATATGCCAAAGGGATTTTCTGCTACTCAACCACATTTTGGCTGGCCATAAAAACTTCAAGAAGAAACTGATCTAGGATGGCTTCCCTTGAGGAAGAACAGAACTGACTTAAAACAAGTTAAGTTTAATACAGCAGAGGGTCTCATAAAACCCTACTACTAAATAAATCAACTGTGAAGAATAACCTGTCTGTGAATACCAAGAAAAAAGTTTTTTATTTCTTATTCATGCATCTTATCAATGGTACAAGCAACTAAAGGCCATTATATTGGACCTTAATGAACAATATTAAGAATTAAAATAGAATTAAAAATTAAACCCAAATAAGAATCTCCCTATCATTTTCTATTCAGAGTTAAGCTAGGTGGTATCAACTTTATTTTCCTGACACACTATCTCCTTCATGACAACAAACAAATTTATTCCTTCTTTCTACAGATTCCAAAATAATGTCCTATTATTATGCCTTTCAGAACCTTGAATTTTGATTTATTCCTTAATATCTTTCTTGATCTCATCCTACAAGAATTCCTTAGAATTGTTTTTCTTTGAGAAATAACTTTATAGTACATTTTAATAATAATAAGCAATGAGTCAACATTTGACTACTGCAAAATTTTAGAAAACAACACATTAAAGGATAACTTAAAAAAATTACTATGGCAGAAACCAACACAAAGCAATCAACCTCCAACTAAAAATAAACTTAAAAAAATGAAAATTTACTGACAAACATGTTGTTATGCTTCATTGCTAATTGTTTTTCCATATATAAACAGTACTAAATAAAGCAATGACTCTGGGATACACACTATCATAAAAAGCTACCACTTCCAAATTTAAATGCAGTATCCTGACATGGAAGCTGCAAAATTCTGAATTAAATTCAGTCTCCCCTAAGACCGTCTATTGAGGATCCTTCTCTTTTTAAAGTCACTATTAAAAAAAAAAAGCTATTTCTGCATGAAAAAAAAAAACTACTCTTACATGGCATTTCCCTAATAGCAGTTTCTGTCATAGACTTTCAATATCTATGTTTAAATTCTATGTTTATACAACTCTCTTATAAAAAATAACATCACATTTTTTTGTTTTTACTTATTAACACTGGAACAGAGATCATTCTTCCAAATTCTTACCTGAATAATTGTGGCCAATATGTTTACATAATTACTTTCAGTCTGATAGAGCTCTTTTGCAACTTGCCACCTGGCTGACTGCTTTGAAGGAACTGGAGTGGAATTCTTAGAAGACTTAGTACAAGACTTTGGTGTTTCTAAAAGGAAAAAGGAGGAAAGATTTAAAATGGAAGCCAGATATAAGTACCAAACACTGTAAAAAAGAAAGAGAGAAAGAAGGGTATCTACTCTTATAAATATACCACCATATATATTTTCATTAAAGTAGAGCTTCATCCTAGAATAAGGCCAGAAAAAAACAATGGTCATGTACTCTTCAAAAACATCAAGATCATTAAAAAACAAAGAATTACCGAAAAGAACTGTTCCAGATAAGAAGAGACTAAAGAAAGATAACACAATTTATAATCCTGGATTGAATCCTAACTCAGAAAAAATTTTTGCTTTTGCCAAATAGCGTAGTAGGACATTAGTGGAACAATTAGTAAAATCTGAAGGTCTATAGAGTAGATCAGTGTTAAATGTTAATTTCCTAATTACAATTAACCTAATGAGACTCACTACTCCATATTCAAAGCAAACTGACTGACTACTCCCTAAAAACTCATTCTGTATGCTGTGTTACAAGTATTCTTGCTCCTCTTGTAATAAATCTCAAATCCAACTCAGTTTTCTACACCTATTTTAAATTGACTTTTAATTCCTTCCATGAATATTTAGTGACTACTTATTCTATACTAAGGGCTTGCCTGGTGGCTCAGTGGTAAAGAACCCAGTTGCCAAAGCAGGAGATTCAGGTTTGATCCCTGGGTTAAGAAGATGCCCTAGAGAGGGAAATGGCAACCCCCTCCAGTATTCTTGCCTAGGAGGTCCCATGGACAGAGGAACCTGGTGGGCTATAGTACATGGGGTCCCAAAAGAGTCAGACATGACTTTGGGACTAAACAACAACTCTATTCCAGGCACTGGGAATAAAAGCAGAGAAGATAGACAAGGTACTTATTCTCTTCAAGTTTACATTCTGGTGAAGAGAATAAAACAATAGCGGAGTAAACAAACAACTTCTAGCAGTGATAACTACTACTGAAGACAACAGCCCGGGGTCAGGGTGGTAGGAAGGAGCTGTGGGACAGGGCCTTACCTTTACAGAGAACCTGATAAGATTTCTTTAAAATAGGGAGAGCAAGTATAAAGTTCCTGAGGTATGGTTTTATTATTATTTTTTTTTCATTTATTTTTATTAGTTGGAGGCTAATTACTTTACATCATTGCTGTGGTTTTTGTCATACATTGAAATGAATTAGCCATGGATTTACATGTATTCCCCATCCCGGTCCCCCCTCCCACCTCCCTCTCCACCCGATCCCTCTGGGTCTTCCCAGTGCACCAGGCCCGAGCACTTGTCTCATGCACCCAACCTGGGCTGGTGATCTGTTTCACCCTAGATAATATACATGTTTCGATGCTGTTCTCTTGAAACATCCCACCCTCGCCTTCTCCCAGAGTCCACAAGTCTGTTCTATACATAGGAGTCTCTTTTTCTGTTTTGCATATAAGGTTATCATTACCATCTTTCTAAATTCCATATATATGTGTTAGTATACTGTAATGGTCTTTATCTTTCTGGCTTACTTTGCTCTGTATAATGGGCTCCAGTTTCATCCATCTCATTAGAACTGATTCAAATGAATTCTTTTTAATGGCTGAGTAATATTCCATGGTGTATATGTACCACAGCTTCCTCATCCATTCATCTGCTGATGGGCATCTAGGTTGCTTCCATGTCCTGGCTATTATAAACAGTGCTGCGATGAACATTGGGGTGCACATGTCTCTTTCAGATCTGGTTTCCTCAGTGTGTATGCCCAGAAGTGGGATTGCTGGGTCATATGGCAGTTCTATTTCCAGCTTTTTAAGAAATCTCCACACTGTTTTCCATAGTGGCTGTACTAATTCGCATTCCCACCAACAGTGTAAGAGGGTTCCCTTTTCTCCACACCCTCTCCAGCATTTATTGCTTGTAGACTTTTGGATAGCAGCCATCCTGACTGGTGTGTAATGGTACCTCATTGTGGTTTTGATTTGCATTTCTCTGATAATGAGTGATGTTGAGCATCTTTTCATGTGTGTGTTAGCCATCTGTATGTCTTCCTTGGAGAAATGTCTGTTCAGTTCTTTGGCCCATTTTTTGATTGGGTCATTTATTTTTCTGGAGTTGAGCTGGAGGAGTTGCTTGTATATTTTTGAGATTAATCCTGTGTCTGTTGCTTCGTTTGCTATTATTTTCTCCCAATCTGAGGGCTGTCTTTTCATCTTGCTTATAGTTTCCTTTGTTGTGCAAAAGCTTTTAAGTTTCATTAGGTCCCATTTGTTTATTTTTGCTTTTATTTCTAAAATTCTGGGATGTGGGTCATAGAGGATCCTGCTGTGATTTATGTCGGAGAGTGTTTTGCCTATGTTCTCCTCTAGGAGTTTTATAGTTTCTGGTCTTACATTTAGATCTTTAATCCATTTTGAGTTTATTTTTGTGTATGGTGTTAGAAAGTGTTCTAGTTTCATTCTTTTACAGGTGGTTGACCAGTTTTCCCAGCACCACTTGTTAAAGAGGTTGTCTTTTTTTCCATTGTATATCCTTGCCTCCTTTGTCAAAGATAAGGTGACCATAGGTTCGTGGATTTATCTCTGGGCTTTCTATTCTGTTCCATTGATCTATATTTCTGTCTTTGTGCCAGTACCATACTGTCTTAATGACTGTGGCTTTGTAGTATAGTCTGAAGTCAGGCAGATTGATTCCTCCAGTTCCATTCTTCTTTCTCAGGATTACTTTGGCTATTCGAGGTTTTTTGTATTTCCATACAAATTGTGAAATTATTCGTTCTAGTTCTGTGAAAAATACCGTTGGTAGTTTGATAGGGATTGCATTGAATCTGTAGATTGCTTTGGGTAGTATAGCCATTTTGACAATATTGATTCTTCCAATCCATGAACACGGTATATTTCTCCATCTGTTTGTGTCCTCTTTGATTTCTTTCATCAGTGTTTTATAGTTTTCTATGTATAGGTCTTTTGTTTCTTTAGGTAGATATACTCCTAAGTATTTTATTCTTTTTGTTGCAATGGTGAATGGTATTGTTTCCTTAATTTCTCTTTCTATTTTCTCATTGTTAGTGTATAGGAATGCAAGAGATTTCTGTGTGTTAATTTTATATCCTGCAACTTTACTGTATTCGTTGATTAGCTCTAGTAATAAAATAACAACATAATAAAAGCTATATATGACAAACCCACAGCAAGCATCACCCTCAATGGTGAAAAATTGAAAGCATTTCCCCTGAAATCAGGAACAAGACAAGGGTGCCCACTCTCACCACTACTATTCAACATAGTTTTGGAAGTTTTGGCCACAGCAATCAGAGCAGAAAAAGAAATAAAAGGAATCCAGATAGGAAAAGAAGAAGTAAAACTCTCGCTGTTTGCAGATGACATGATCCTCTACATAGAAAATCCTAAAGACTCTACCAGAAAATTACTAGAGCTAATCAATGAGGTATGGTTTTAACAGTAGGAAAATCTGAAGACTAACAGACACTGTGACAGATACCCAGAGGGTATCAGTGGAGACAATAGCACATGACCTTAGAAGTAACTGAGGAAGGATGATCTAGGAACCTGAAAGCTATGGTAATACAAAGCTACTGTCTTTGTGCAGAGAACAGCATGAACTAATTTACATGTTTTTAGAGACCTCTCTAAGTGCTAAATGTAGAAAGGCAAACATAAATATAGGGACACCATCTAAAGGATCACTGCAATTATCTAAGAGACCATTTATATAGAAAAGGTTGATAAAGGAAGGGTAACAAAGGAAGAGAGGTTGAATCAAGATTTCTAATGTGGTTATGTGAAGAACAGGCTGTGTATTAGACATGAACAAGGAGGTGTGAAGAATACAGTTGAACAGGAAAAACCTCAAATTTGGGCATCATCAGCTATAGAAAGAAAAGCCATAGAATTAAATGAGATCATTTAGGAAGAATTCAATGGAAAATAAATGACTCAGGAATAACATTCCACATTTAGAGTTGGAAAGTTAAGTTAGGCCAAGGAGAAAGAGAAATGAATGATATACAAGAGCCAAAATTAAAAAATGTTGTCCAGGAAGGAGTAACTGCTTAGGTACTCAATGCTGTTGACTGTACAAACTGTCAGGCCCCCTCAGCAAGAGCACTGAAATTCAATTGGAATGAACTGAAAAGACAGTAAAAAGAAAGGAAATGAGACAATGGATGAAGATAAATCCTTCAAGAGTAGTTATATGAAAGGGAAGAGAGAAACAGGATAGTCAGTGGAGAGTATTACGAAGTCAAGGAAAGGTTTTGATTATTTCATAAATTAGAAAACAACATACTTGTGTGCAGACTGAAAAAAAAAAAAAAAACCAGAGGGAAAAAACTGAAGATCAAAATAAAAGAACTAATTATATGTGGCTTCCTGTATCAGCTGATAAACAAAGTATATTCACCTTCTTCTGACTTCATTGTACCTATTTTCTCCATTATTCATGTGACATCTGTGGTTCTTTGTGTTAACAATCTGCTCTCTGAACAGCTCTACCACTTTCTAGCTGTGTGACTCTAGACAAGTTTTACTTCTCTAATCTCAGTATAGTCATCTGTAAAATAGGGGCAATAAAATTTATCTTATAAACACACAAAACATATAAACACTTAGTATATAGCAAGCAATTGTTAAATCTAAGCATTTTCATCTGCCTTTTCTGCTCAGAACAAAGGCCAGTCACTGTAGTATGGATCTATCTACATTCTAATAATTATTCTATTCCACTAAATTTAAAGATTTTAAAATGTGAATTACCTCCATAGTTAATGCTAGATTCTGGCGTGTTGGAGATATCTAGGAGTGACCCTATAGAAAGGGAATGTTCAGCTGATGGGCGCTTACGGGGAGGGAAAGGTGACAAGTCTGCCTCTCTTGAAAGCTGAGCAAGTGTCTCTTTTAAACGACGTCTTTTGCGATTGCTGTTTGGGGTGTTTAGAGAGAGCAGTGACACTGATTTCTTGAGCTCAGGTGTATTAGCCTGCAATCAAAAGCACAAAAGCTCAGTTTTACTTCTGTGGCTCTTTACTGAGACAAGAACAAAAGAAAAACACACTTAAGAATCTGACAAAATCTGGGTTTTGCACAATAATTTTACAACTACACATTTTTCCACATAAATCGGCTGTTTCATAAAACATAATAATCAAAGGACTATTGTGATTGTCTAACCACTAACACCTAATTCTTTTTCTCCACAGTAGTATTACCATTACATATTTGCCTATAAGCTTGTTTACAATCTACTCTCCATCAGACCATAAATTCCGGGAAGGCAGGGACCATTCATTCATATTTTGTTCACTGTATCTCTGGCATTTAGCACAATGCCTGGATACAGTGCTCTTCAATATTTCTCAAATACCACTTGGCTTTTTTTTTTTACCTGTACTGTCTTTAAAAATGCATCGACAATGTTCCGAGGGCTTTCACTAACTGAGGTGAGCAGGGGCTACTCTGAGCTACGGTGCTGGGGCTTCTCACTGCAGTCAGTTCTCTTGTCGCAGAGCATGGGCTCTAGGCTTGTGGGATTCAGCAGTTGTAGCACATGAGCTTAGCTCCCCCACAGCATGTGGAATCTTTCCGGACCAGGGATCAAATCCATGTTCCCTGCATTGGCAGGCGGGTTCTTAAGCACTGGACTGCCAGGGAAGTCCTACCACTAGATTTTTTTCAGAATTCTCTCTTGCAACCTGAGGCATATTTTTTAAACTTTACGTTCAGAAACTTACATTGAGAATAAGCGCCCAAAGAGAACACAACAGAGAACATATTTAGATTTTATAGAAACATAATAAATGCATATTTCACCTTCAACATTCCATTCAAAATTATTAAATCCCAAACTGAAGTAAATTTTCCCTTGAAGCCTGCTTCCATATCTTTCTGTCACATTCTGGTGAACAACACTGTTTTCACCAAGATCAAGCAATAAAGGCTGGATTTTCCTTGCCTATAATTCCTTCTACTACAGTCATTTTTTTAATGACATCCCTCCCCATTCTTCAGTTATTCCAATACTTACAGAACAAATCAAAATGCTTTAACATATTAAAAACTTGATTCTGTCTATTTAGTCAGCTTTGTCTGTTGGCCTTCTTTCCCACACTCTTTTCTGAAGCCATACTTTTAATGTACTTTTAAGCTTTCATACCCTCTCCCACCTGCTGTCTAACATGAATGTCCTTACTAAGTTAGCCAAGGAAGATGACTCAGCATTTATTTGCTCTTTTCAATCCTGCCTGAGTCTCCGAGTTTAGTAGTTAGAATACATACATTGCTCAATTATGGCACATTTCATTCTGTACTGTAATTGTATGCACATCTCTTTCCTTTAAGGTTCTAAGTTTTTGAAGATACGGATGTTATGGTTTATAATGGGATCACCAAGAATTAGCACAGAATGACATAGATTAAAATAAGATCCAATACATGGTCTACATAGACTATCCCTCAATATCCAACTGTTTAATTATTCTGACATTCCTAAACATGACAAAAAAAACATGATCTATGTGCTAATTATCCTAGGTTCTTCTGGAATAAAAAAGTGTCATCTTCATACAATCAAACTCACAGAACAAACGAAAAAAGAGACAAACAGCATACCTTTTCATATAAATACATAGTTTCTCCAGCTCGGGCATCCATTTGAATGCTTCCCCAGAACCACTAGTGGAAAGAACACTTTAGTTAAGAATTTATCTCATCAGAAAAGCTATTACTAATGTTTTTTAAAAACCACTCTTATTTTACAATTACTTGCCTCTTGTTTCACAACATAAAGTTTCTTTGAAGGTTCAAATGGAAGTTCTTTTACTATATTCTCTTCAACTATAAGGTGAGTGCATCTTTCATCTCCAACTGGTAAATAGTTTCCTCCTAAAACGGAAAGCATACAGGCATACATAACACCAACTGTTTATCCCCAGGCCCAAATTTTTTTAAAGAGACATATTCTCGAGGAAGTGATTAGCAAGAGTAGGGAATAAAATGTTAGCTTTTAAATTATGCTGAATACTACCTTGCATTTTAGTCATTTCTTCCATATTGGTTTTCTCTTCATCCGAAAAACCCAGGAAACTTAAAATGCAGTCTTGAAATGGAGGAACTTTAAATTCATTTCTAAAGTCATCAACTGATGCACAGAAGTCCCTAAAAACAAAGTACACGCTCCTAAAACCAGCTTAGCTAAAATTCAATATAAGTAAAGCAGATCAATTTATAAATCCACAGTAACTTGCAAGGTTTTAGCATAATCCATTTATTGAAAATATTTTACATTAGGTCCTGAAATGTTCATAAAAACTACAGTTTAAAAAAAAACTGATGTGTCCTCAGTCATCCCAGAAGTAACTTCCCACACAGTTTAATCACAGCTAATTTTTACAAGATGCAAATATTTGCTCTGTACATGAAATTTTATATGTATTCCAGGGGTTCTATAGTTTCATAAAATCTTAAGTAATAATCAAGTACAAGAGCAAGGAATTATGAGACCGGAAAGCTTAACAAGGTTATGAAATGCAATTACCACTTAAAATGTAACCAGACAAATATAAGAAAAAATATAGCACAACCCAAACATCCATATGCAGTAGCTATTACCTAATAATTTTAGAATGTTTTTATTGGTTATTAAATTATTTTATAAAATAAAGTTCAAAGATATCATAGATGTCTTTCCATTTTCAATAATTATAATAATAAGAATAATAAAAACTTTGTTCTTCCTATACTTTATTCCCTAAGCTTCACAAAGACTGAATTAACTTTTCATATATTAATTTATGAATTTTGGGCACATGGGTTTCCTAATGACATGTGATTGATTCACATAATTAACAACTGAATTTCTAAATACTTACTGTTCATTCCGCCTTTCCCAAGCTTTATAAATCCATTCTGGTTTCATAATTGGAGTACCTAGGCTCACAGCTACCTAAAAACATAAACATTAATTATGATGAATTTTTACCTTAAATAACTGCATTCCTATAAGATATAAACAATTATAATTACATTCTTAGATCACTGCCCATCTGCTTTGTAACAAAATATAAAGAAAAATTAAAGAAAAAACTATATTTCCATCATACAATTTAGGTTAAAATAACTTCCAAAACAAGTTCCACAAGGTCCAAGCTATTTCATTTTATTTTAAATAAATACATCTCCCAAGTTGATTCAGTTCATCTTTATTACATTTCTATTTCCCTGTTTACTTTCTTAGAAGTATTAACCCCCATGATAGCACCAAGAGTTTAAGAAAAAATATCTGATTAGGTCACAAAATCTTAGATATGAATTCTAAGTATACCTCCCAGGAATTCAACATTACCCTAAACTTACCATTTGCTACATATATACACTGATGGAGGGTGACAACAAAGTGATAAACTCTTCCAGTGCAATCTTGAACTAAGACTTTAATCCCAATAAAAGTATTTTCTCCTGTTCTATAATTTTCACAAGTTAAATCTTAGAACCATTTTATAAGAACAAAGTTCTACTCTTAGATAAGAGAGAAATACCTGCCCTCATCACCTTCTGATCCCCTTACTCACCAACACTCATAGTAATTCTTTCCTAATATTACTCATCTGCCTCCTAAAATGCTATTCACTTACCAACCTCCACTATCCTAATCATCTTTCAAGACCTAACTCAAGCTCCACTGCCTCTTTCAAACCTCAGGGGCCACACTTCTATGATTTAAAAATTTTTACTAAACACACATATAGCAAAAATTGAATTTCTGATCCTCAATAAATTGTGAGAGAAATAGACAAAATGAGAACATTATCATTATATCCATTACCAAACAGTGCTATGTTGAAATACACAAAAATCCTAAAATTTACATACCCTGAATTTTTCTCCTTGTGTATAATTTGCCACCAAATGTGTAACTTTTGAATTAAAGTCTTTTCGAATAACTCCACCCATGTGATGAACCAAAGTCACCAATCTGACCTCAAAAGAAAAAGTAAACACGGGTTTTTTTGATTAATATGAACAAAATTTTAAACTATGTTTATAGTTTATTTAGCATATACTGATTTCTATTTATAAGGTACATAAAAGAATTTTTATAAAGTTTATGTTACAAATTATGTAAAGTTTATGTTTTATAAAGTTTATGTTACAAATTAAAGATTCATTTGCCTTATTGACATAGGCAAAATCATACAGAGAGATAAGTTAGTTAAGATGAACATACAAAACTAAGTTAATTAAAGACTGGCTTTCACACAAGTGAAAAAGTAAATATATTTCTTCTCAGTGGTGGGTGGTGAAGTAGAAAAGCTTGTTGCTTTGCCAGGCAAAGGGATACAACAGGCTTGTGTCCCCCCCAAAAAAAATGTCCTCAATTTATTACTTTTTAAAAGCCAGGTTGCCATCACATCAAGACTCTTCCCACAATATCCCATTAGCTCCAATGTAAATAATTTTACAGATCAAAAAAAGAAGTTTCTATGAATTCTCTAGAGCAATGAGAATACTTTAAGACTAGATATACATAACAAAAAATCGCAATGCATAAACAAAAACTTGAAATAATGCGTTAATAAAATACTTAAAAGGACAATTTAAACAGATAGTTACGAAGTTTTTCTAATTCACAGACCAGCCACCCTAGACAACACATTTGATTGTTTACAAAGCTCTTCAGAGTGTTTCTTCAAAGTTTAAGACCTAGTATACTCATAGTTGGCTCCCCAGGTGGCTCAGACGTAAAGCGTCTGTCTGAAATGTAGCAGACCCAGGTTCAACCCCTGGGTCAGGAAGATCCCCTGGAGAAGGAAATGGCAACCCACTCCAGTACTGTTGTCTGGAAAATTCCAAGGATGGAGGAACCTGGTGGGCTACAGTCCATGGGGTTGCAAAGAGTCAGACACGACTGAGCGACTTCACTTCACGTTCATAGTAATTTCTCCTTCAATATTTTAAAAATAAAATCATGATACAACTACCAAAAAAAAGCAAATTTAAACTTATTTTGCTAGAGAAAATATTCTTTGACTAGAACGTTTTAAAATACTTACTAGTTCTTCCTTCTTCCTGAATCCAGTAAAACATAGTACTAGATTCATCATGCTGGTACAATAGAGTGGGCGACATGAAAATGGCAAAGGCTGAAGGATATAAGTTTAAATCTGTGAGCTTCTCTACAGCAAAAATAGAACACATCTTTCTAAACTAAACATATTTCCCTCTCTTGCCATTTAACATTCCCAACCCCAAAATATACTTGCATCTTTCAATATGTAACAAATTGCAAGGACCAATTTAAATTCACAATAAAAATTTCCCAAGATTTCCCATATCATATTTGATACACATACTCTAAACACACTTTACTACTGCCAAGTAAAATATAAATATCCATACCCAAACCTTTATTTCCAAAATGTACTTTGATACATGAGGTATTGTCTATAATAAAAGATTTCCATATACCACTGTAAATGCTTCAAGTTAAAGTTAAAAGAGGTCAAAAATATTTTTCTAATAAATACTGATCATACATATACTTGAACCAAATATGATTCCAACTTTTCAGCTAAAAACTGGAGACAGTAAATAATTTAACAAATCATTTTATCTATCTATATATGAAAGAGAATGCTTAAAAACAGATATAAATTTAATTCCCACTATTAGGCAGAAATATACTTTTCCATAATCTTGGCCTTTAAAATGTTTATGTGTTTTTTGAAAACAACACTTCTGAATCAAAACAGAGAATTAAAAGATTATCATGTGCTCATTAGTATCTATAATAAAAGAAGCACAAAGACCCAAGCAGTTGAAAGTTAATAAGGCAAGCTTAAGAATGCCAAAACAGAGCAATAAAATAAGTATTAACTCTACTACAACTTAACTGAAATGCTATTCAAAAACAAAAAGCTAAAGTAATTTCCCTAATTTATCAGTAGAAACTGATAAAAATGCAATTGTGGTAGCTGTTCCATGTAGAGGAAAATTAAAGTTCATGTATTTATATATACACATCATTGGTACCCAGGTTTAAAGCAAATTATTTCTTTCCAAGATACTGCAGGTATTAAGATTTTGTATATACATATGATATTCCTTGGGCTTCCCAGGTGGTGCTAGTGGTAAAGAAGCTGCCTGCCAATGCAGGAGATGTAAGAGACGGGAGTTTGATCCCTGGGTGGGGTTCATTCCTTGGGTTGGAAAGACCCCCTGAAGGAGGGTGTGGCAACCCACTCCAGTGTTCCTGCCTGGAGAATCCCATGGCCTGGCGGGCCAAAGTCCTAGGGTTGCAAACAACTGAAGCGACTGAACATGCATGCACACACATATTATTTATAATTAAAGGACTTTTGAGTTCTTAGTAGGGAGTACTACAGAGTAGTCACTACTATTTCTATTCTAAATATTTTATATTCTCAACAATTAATGAGATTTTTCTGCATAAAAATTCATTAATAAAATTTTATTAACCTTGAAAAGTTATAATAAGCATATATTCTTTCTTACCTCTCCATTTTCTGCACAGTTTAATACAACTGGTGGTCCAATAACTCTACAATCAGCCTTGTATAACTCATTAAAGACAGAATCCTGGAAGTCCATGACTATGAATACATTTTCAAATTCTGGAGAATCCAAACTTTTAAATTCTTCAACTGATTCCATCTTTACAAATGGCACTTTAATTTCCTTGATTTTTTCCATGGAGTTATTAAGAAATAAAATTTATATTATAAAATCAATTATAAATCTCTCTAAATAAGACCCCCAAATCAACTCAGTATCAACATTTTTATTTGTGTATTTGTGGAAATGTAGAAACTTAAGTTTTAAATCATACAATGAGCATTATACTTAATAGTGAACAGTCATATTTCTTTAGTTATTTATATAAACATATCTCTACGTTAAGATTTTAAATTTTGAAAATTATTATAAAGGCGTAAGTTTCTGACATGACTTAGTAGTCATTATAAAGCATCTAGTATGGATATAAAAATAGGGATGATGAATTTTTTTTAAGTACATATATTTTGATAGTAGCATGCCTTAGAAAGATATCCACAGTTGCTTTTAATTCTAAGAAAATGATGCCATATGCATAGTTCTTCCTCCACAAATTATAGTCAGAAAAAAAGGAAAAAAAATACTATGACATGTAACATCTACAAAAAGTTCAGTTTATATGAGGGAAATAAGAGAAAGATAAGAAAATATGGCAGCAACTACAACATTGTATACACAGGATACAAAAAGGCAACTGTGTAATGTACATCCCTGAAAAAGAATGAAGATAGTTAAGTATCTACATGACTTGTGTTAAAAAAACAGAACCATTTAAAAGAAAATTCAAATGGGTGAGTCAATATTTGGGCTTTACTTTCCAGGCTGGTGTGAAGGGATGAACTGTGTATCCCAAAACTCATGTTGAGTCCTAAACCCCTGTACCTCAGAATGTAACTATTTCAAGATGTAATAAAGGTTAAATGAAGTCACATGGGTGGATTCTAATCAGACTGGATTAGTGGTGGATAGGTGTCCTTATAAGAGAAGGAAATCTGGACATACAAAAGAGATATGCGTGCACAGAAGATAAGGCATGTGAAGACAAAGCAAGAAGATAGCAGTCATCGACAAGCCAAGGAGAAAGGCCTCAACAGAAATTAAACCTGCTGGCACCTTGATCTTGGCCTTTAGCCTCCAGGAAAGTGAGAAAACATATTTCTATTGTTTGAGCCACCTAGCATATATTATTATGGAAACCTCACAATCTAGTATTAGCTGGTATAGGGAATTAGAAATATTTCATACAGTCAGGTAAATTCCCTGATGACTGTCAAATATTGACTTGCAACTGTGGAAGTAAAGCAAGAATTTACAATAAAATAAAATTATTCAGAAAAAAGTAGAGTTTAAAGTATTAGATCTTCACAAATACATAAGTGAAATGTCATTTAAATTTAACAATGCCAAATTACTCTATAAGGATTTCATTATTTATAGAACATTATAGTTTGAGGTTTCAGAAACATCCAAATTTTAAAATAAATGTCATAGTTTTCATTAATCTAGCTTCAGAGTGTTCAAAGTATACCTCGTGTCTACTTTGGCCCAATCACCATTAAGTGGACTACAGAATACAATCAAAGGAAGTGCAGCATGCCACATGCAATGAAATGCTTGACCTACCATATTAACAATACTTTTTATTAATTTTTCATCCGATTTTCCAGGACAACTTTCTTTTATCTTTATAACAGGGACTTCCATTATTTTAATAGTCTGTGGAAAAGAGACTTAATTATGAGATTAAGAAAACTATAAATTTATTTATGCACCGATGGAAGAAAATAGTCTCTTTCAAAAAAATTAAAAAGCTTAATCTCCATACCTTTAAGGCTTTTATAAGTTCTTCTTGTTTTCCAGCTTCTTGAACCAGTATGACTCTTGTTTCAATCTGAGGCATTTCTTCTATTAAAATTAAAAATGTTTAAGTAAAACACTTTTATTATTCACTAACATTGAAATCAGTAGTCTCCAACCCCTTTTTTGGCTATATCTGTAATGTTTTTCATCTTTAAGATAATAACATTCCTTGAAATTAAAATGACTTAATTCCTAGCTTTTTAAAAAAAATCTGATCAGGTATCATTTCAGAAGAAAAACATACTGTATTATAAACAAAGTATTCAAACATTAGCACTCTTCATAACCAAAGAAAGCATTCACTAACTTGCAGAGTCATCCTCTTAAATAGCACATACAACTTCAGGAAAGATAGGTTTACACAGTGGAAAGGGAAGAAGTGGCTCTTCACCTGACTAGTCCTAACTGAATATATTCTAGCTAACAATATTGCAGCTAGATTGCCCTCACAAACAGCAAAAGCAATATCCAACAAGACGCCCTCTCCTTCGAAGTTGGGAAATGCCAAACAACAATAAAAAAATTTAGTGTAATGGGTTTTTGTTAACAAATTTTTACTGAATGCCTGTACCCTAACTTAACAATATTATAGCCAAATCATAAGAAAATCGCTAGTTTAGGATTAAAAGAGTGATCTGGCATTTTAAAGCAGGTAACATGTTTACCTTCAACACATGAAGTAGATCCAATAAATAAGTTGTCCTTAGAAGTTTCAGCAACTTTAGAATCAAAAATGGAAGAGTCTGCCAAGCTTGTACTGCCAGTAGTGGATGTTAATGCACTATTATCAGCCATTGTTTGTTCTCTTCTATGATGGCTGAAAAAAAATTTAAATAAAATTACAAAAAATGAACATAATTGTTAGGCAAAAACAAGCATTAATACCTACAATTTACAAGAAATATCATTGCCCATTTTTTGAAAAATACTGAACCAAAGGAAGTCACTCAACTTCTCTGAGGCTGTTTGCTCTTTTTTATCTGTAAAATAAAGATACTCATGCCTGACTCATAGAGATATAGTAAAATAGCAATGTACCAAAAGTACATTATATGTATAAAAATACAAAAGTACAGGATATTACCAGTCAAAAAGTACTCAAAATGTACTCATAAATACTATGCTACCTTCCCCTCCATACCTTTGCCCTTATCCAAACTATTTCTCCTCCTATTTTCATTTATCATGTCACCATCATCCCCTAAATAAATCCCAGTCAAAAACCTGATCCATCCTTACTCTTTCATCTACCTCATTTGCCCTCCCCTAAATGGTGTTGGAGAAGACTTTTGAGAGGCCCTTGGACTGTAAGGAGATCCAACCAGTCCATCCTAAAGGAGATCAGTCCTGGGTGTTCATTGGAAGGACTGATGCTGAAGCTGAAACTCCAGTACTTTGGCCACCTCTTGCGAAGACTTGACTCATTGGAAAAGACTCTGATGCTGGGAGGGATTGGGGGCAGGAGGAGAAGGGGACGACAGAAGATGAGATGGCTGGATGGCATCACCGACTGGATGGACATGAGTTTGAGTAAACTCTGGGAGCTGGTGATGGACAGGGAGGCCTGGCGTGCTGTGATTCATGGGGTTATAAACAGTCGGACATGAGTGAGCGGCTGAACTAAACTAAATTGAAATTGCTATCAATCCCTCAAGCATCTCTGTATCTCTGGGATCCGGCCAGTCTTTTTGTGGCCAATGCCACAATGCCCACTTGATGAAAATCAACAGTTCCAGACAACTGTCTCTATCACAAGTTTCTTCAGAGGTCACGATCCACATGGTTTTCAGGGTATGGTTCTAAAAATAAATGTGACCATGTTACTTCCCTGCTTCAAACTTGCATGACAAGGCCTCTTTAGACAATCAAGTTCATATTCACTGTCCAGTTTACACTTTTGTCCTAGTCCACCTATTTAACCTCACCTCCCTTATTTCCCCAAGTCCACATGGACTGTACTGCTCCAGCCATAAGGGATTTCCCAGAATTCTGCAAACAATTTACTTCACACCTACTTGCATTTAATAGGGCTCAGTTCTTCTCCTAGCATGTCTTTCAACCCATCACACCACTTGACTTATCTTCTGTAGATTTCTCCAAACTTCTCAGGTATAACTGGACTGCTCCCTTATCTGTATTTTCATATTACTTTACAAAAGTTTCTCCTCTAAAAGATTTCACGAGACAATTAACAAGTGTCATTATGATCCTGGACTATGAAAGAAAAATTCTTTCTTTTTAAATTTCCAGGACTTAAAGAGTTGAAACGTTAAGCAAACCGGGAATAAAGAAAAAGCTGAATAGACCTTCATCAATTCAAATTGGAGTTTTTAATGTAAGTTTATTGCCTTGAGGTAAATTTCCAGAATATTGGGCAAATACAAAGAAGAGGCCCCATCTTATCTAAAGGTGCATACCTTTCCTACATTTTCAGAATAAAAAAATATACAAATAACTTTCACTATATTTTTAACAAAGTAATGTTTAAAGTATTATTAGCCTCATTTCTGCAAAGTGCTATCAAATAGTGTGACAAGATACACACTAATAGTAATAGACTTAAGCCTGATTATTAAGTGCACTAACTTATATTAGTTGCTTCAAAGTCAAGCAACTCAGCTTCCAGTTTCAACTCTGCACTTAGTAGGTTACGCCTCAGTTTCCACACCAGGAAAAGGTTAACAGTACAACTCAAATCCAGTTGTGATAAACTTAATAGATGATGTCTTTACAAGAGTGACAATTATTCATTCTCATGATGCAGGGCAACATTGAAGGCAGGAGGAGAAGGGGGGACAACAGAGGATGAGATGGTTGGATGGCATCACTGACTCAATGGACATGAGTTTGAGCAAGCTCTGGGAGCTGGTGATGGACAGGGAAGCCTGGTGTGCTGCAGTCCGTGAAGTTGCAAAGAGTTGGACATGACTGCATGACTGAACTGATAACATTCACAATGTGAACATTTCTCATTGTTTTACCATACATCCACATCAGTCATTATTTAAAGGCTTCCCAAAGGAGAGCTCCAATAGTTGTTAGTAAAAGTCTTAGAATCAGTAATAAACTCTATCCAGCCCTTATTTTTCTGTTAAGTCTCTCACACTTAAATGTTTCTAGTGAAAAAGAAACGCTCTAAACAGGCTTTCATTTCAAGTCCCCTTAAAAGCATGTTAATAAGAAAAATCCACCACAACTACTAACCTATATGCTACAACTACTAAAGCCAGGGCCCAACTACTGAATTTCTGTGCTTGGCAACAGAAGCCACTGCAATGAGAAGCCAGTGCACCACAAGGAATAAAGAGAGTAGCCCCAGATCAGTCACCACAACTCGAGAAAGACCACATGCAGCAAGACCCAGCAGAAACAAAAATAAAATTTTTTAAAAGAAAGAAAAATCAAGAGATGACTGCTGCTTTAAGGAACATTAAGAGTGAGTCTTTAATAAATCGAAAATACCATGAGTTCACATTTTTTCACTTATGCCTCTCTGTCTAAAGACCATCAAAACAGGGAAGTAATTAAAAATTGTCTCTGATGACACTATACATGATCAGTTTATTGCCAAAACAGCTTTCAGTCAGTTCAGCTGCTCAGTCATATCCGACTCTTTGCGACCCCATGAATCACAGCACGCCAGGCCTCCCTGTCCATCACTAACTCCTGGAGTCCACCCAAACCCATGTCCATTGAGTTGGTGATGCCATCCAACCATCTCATCCTCTGTCGTCCCCTTCTCCTCCTGCCCTCAATCTTTCCCAGCATCACAGTCTTTTCAAATGAATCAGCTCTTCCATCAGGTGGCCAAAGTATCGGAGTTTCATCTTCAGCATCAGTCCTTCCAATGAACACCCAGGACTGATCTCCTTTACAAAGGACTGGTTGGATCTCCTTGCAGTCCAAGGGACTCTCAAGAGTCTTCTCCAACACCACAGTTCAAAAGCATCAATTCTTCAGCGCTCAGCTTTCTTTATAGTCCAACTCTCACATCCATACATGACCACTGGAAAAACCATAGCCTTGACTAGATGGACCTTTGTTGACAAAATGATGTCTCTGCTTTTTAATATTCTGTCTAGGTTGGTCATAACTTTCCTTGCAAGGATAAGCATCTTTAAATTTCATGGCTGCAGTCACCATCTGCAGTGATTTTGGAGCCCAGAAAAATAAAGTCAGCCACTGTTTCCACTGTCTCCCCATCGATTTGCCATGAAGTGACTATGCCAAAGCCTTTGACTGTGTGGATCACAACAAACTGTGGAAAATTCTGAAGGAGATGGGAATACCAGATCACCTGACCTGCCTCTTGAGAAACCTGTATACAGGTCAGGAAGCAACAGTTAGAACTGGACATGGAACAACAGACTGGTTCCAAATTGGGAAAGGAGTGTCAAGGCTGTATACTGTCACCCTGCTTATTTAACTTATATGCAGAAACGCTGGGCTGGACGAAGCACAAGCTGGAATTAAGATTGCCAGGAGAAATATCAATAACCTCAGATATACAGATGACACCACCCTTATGGCAGAAAGTGATGGAGAACTAAAGAGCCTCTTGAAAGTGAAAGAGGAGAGTGAAAAAGTTGGCTTAAAGCTCAACATTCAGAAAACTAAGATCATGGCATGTGGTCCCGTCACTTCATGGCAAATAGATGGGGAAACACTGGAAAACAGCTTTAACATTTAGAAAAAAGAGGCACGCTAAAGTTACCACGCATCAACAATCTGATTACAAAGTGAAAAGCACTAATAATTTTTTCACATTCATGTATTCTGTAAGCTTTTAAGATAAACACAAAAAAAAATCAGTGTTCATAAACCCATACAGATTACTTTTCATCTGAGAACATACTCAAAGAGTTTCTAACTAAATACAACATATGTCTCTTTCCATAACAAAGATAAAATTTTGTCATTTAAACAAATTTCCTTTTATTTTTTTAGGCAATCATCTTTCAGGGTGGAGGAGCTAAATGCCACACTGGACATGTTGGTGGTGTTATTGACAATAACATTGTTCACATTACATAATACTGTCATTAAGAAATAACTTTTATTTAACCAATTTGTGGGACTGTTCTAAAACCTTTTACTTGCATTCATTTAATCTTTGCAACAATCCTGAGGGGCAGGTACTATTATATTCATTTTACAGATAAAGAAACCAAGAGCAGAGAGGTAAACTTCCCCCAGGGCATACAGTTGGCAAAACAAACATTCGATTCCGAGCTGATTTCAGAGGCTGCGCTTTTAACTCTTAAAGCATACCCATCTGTACGCGGGGTGGAGCGCCGGAAAGGGCTAGCGTTTTACATTAAATGCTAAAAACTAAAGATGCCAGGAAGAATCCAAGAGTGAAACCAAGGAATCTGAGATAAGCCCCCAAAGGCCGCAGCTGCCGGCCCCCAGATCCGCAGAGCCCGTTGTGGCTTACCAACACCCCCTTTCCGATAACTCCCCCCTTTGCCCAGAAACTCTTTCGGAAAAAATATCCAAGCCGGCAAGCGATGACGAAGCATAGCAGCCAGGAGGACCTCCAGTTCCCACTCCACAACCCGGCCCCGCTGTTGGGAAGCCGGCGGGGTGGTTTCCCGAGCCGGGAAGCCGGGGCTGGGCGCTCCGGAATTCGCGGTCACCGGGGCGGGGCCGCGGGACACAAGCACAGCGGCCCACTGCTCCGGGGACGCCGGCCCACTCCCACCTCCGCCACGCGCACCCACAGAGCCCTCACCACTCTCAGAGGACGCCCTGGAAGTTCCACCTTTTCAAGCACAGGTCCTGCTCACCGTTAC